TGTTCTCCCTGTACACCATACTGCTGTTTCCAATATTGGTAACTGGTAAATGTTCTCCGCTGTTTCCTCCCTGTACACCATACTGCTGTTTCCAATATTGGTAACTGGTAAATGTTCTCCGCTGTGTTCTCCCTGTACACCATACTGCTGTTTCCAATATTGGTAACTGGTAAATGTTCTCCGCTGTGTTCTCCCTGTACACCATACTGCTGTTTCCAATATTGGTAACTGGTAAATTGTCTCCGTTGTGTTCTCCCTGTACACATAGCTACTGTTTTCGTATTGGTGAGTGTAAATTTTCTCCCTGTGTTTTCAGTACTGCTGATCGTCTTTTTCACGTTTAGTTGATGTAGCTAGTGTGGACCGCCGAACTACAGACCAGGAGATCGCAACAACGCAGAAAATCAACAAGCTTGTTCAAATATATAAAAACTCACTCATCTTTGACGAAATGCGACACGAAGTGTTAAAACTAATGAAACATTCACATAAAAATGAAAGATCCATGGCAGTGAACCGCCCTAGCAAACCGAGCGTGTTTCGGGTGATACTGGCACTGTTAAGGTAAGCCATGTCACACATAACCTAATGTCAGAGACGGTTGTCATGGTGATCATGATCGACCAAATCAATGTCATCACTATTGCAACTCCTTTTTGTAACGCATTTTGATCTAAAATATAAGCTAAGATATGAGAATAGGTAGGTCAGTTCGTGTTTTATTGTCCCTAGGTCAAGGGCACTGTCATAAACTTTTTTAGGAAGTAGGTAACCAATTAAGTTTCCTTGGTCATTTGTAAGAGAATATCTTTTTTTAAAGGGTCAATAATGAGAATATGTCATATGAGTTTGTATGTGATAATTCCAAATGCAAGGCCAACATTACGGATAACCTTGATAGGATATTTTTTTCGTAGTTCCAGCAAATTCAATCTTGTATGCATATTTTGATATTTAAACATCAATTATATACAAAAACCATAAAGGTCGATAAAAGTAGTTTGATAATATCAGAGCTAGTATTTCAGGATGCCAAGGTCAAAATCATCGTTACTATTTCTAGTCAAACGGAATTGAGTTTAAACAAATAACGGAAATTGGACATCCGGTGAATCTCAACACTTCATGAATTTCGATAGATGCTGAATCAAGATAGTTGGTTCGATTCACTGCAAAAATGCTATATTGCTGCCTTTTCAGTCGCAGTTACCGCCACACGGGGAGGGACAGGAGTATCTACGCTAGTCGGATGTTCCTGCTGTTCTGCTTCGTGCCCTTCATCTGTCTCTTCCTGCTGCAGATGGGAACAGACCAACGCAGTATACAGGACCGAATTGGGCTAATATACCAGGGTACCAGCGTTCCCTCCTACATGGGGCTGATGAACGGGTTCTACTTGTGTACGTATCCTACTCTACAACACGCGTTAGCTGTTTTACGTGTAATCAGTCAACACGTTTGATCTGCTTTCTTCTTTGTCATCTCAATTTTTTGCCATTTACCCACAATACATCATTAACGGTCTTACCACTTACAGTTCTCTGACAAAGGTTATTTACTGAGTAGTAACAAAGCCACCTTCCCTGTATGTGTATTTTATGCCATCGTGATCTGTTCCTCCAGTGTCTGCTCTTAATATACTGATTGACTGGATGCATAGGTCATCATAGAATTATATGTTCATTTACACTACCAGTTCCTTCTGTAAGCATTACTGTACCAGAAGAAATTACGTTCTTAGGATTATGGACGGATTTGATCAACGTTATTTTGAGTATTTCCTCCTTTCTCAAATTACGTGAAACAACCATTAAAACCGAACATGTTGGTGGCGTAAGGCTGTTCCAGGAATCTCGTTTGCACAGACTATACAGACACTTAAATATCGGAAATATTTAGATCATTAGTAACTAAAATTTAATATGTGAATTGAACGGCATTTTTCAATGTTCATGCCGATATGATCGCAAATCGGTTACATACATATTCCATGAAGCCCTTATCGTTATGAACATTGCAGAATGCCGTTCAATCCTTACATGAAGTACCGTTTCGTGATAAAAACATGTTTCCAGTGTCTTAGATAGTTAGTGAGCTACATAATGTCCCTAGTTTCCTTTGGCCTTAGCAACTCATCGATTCCTTATTGTTATCTCCTCCAATCCTTATTGTTATCTCCACGATTCCTTATTGTTATCTCCACGAATCATTAGTGTTATCTCCACGAATCATTAGTGTTATCTCCTCCAATCCTTATTGTTATCTCCACGATTCCTTATTGTTATCTCCCCGACTCCTTATTGTTATCTCCACGATTCCTTATTGTTATCTCCTCCATTCCTTATTGTTAAATTCTCAATTCCTTATTGTTATCTCCTCCATTCCTTATTGTTATCTTCCCGACTCCTTATTGTCACAAAAAACGTTAAAAAGTGTACTATCTCAATACTGTGTTGTTTTTACAGCTCCCGCATACAAACGCTTTGTAACACCTTTTTCTTCTGTTGTGTCCACAGTTCGGCCATCGAAAGATTTTATACGTTATGTGTTTAAAGCTTTTCATTGTGAGATCTTATGCTATTTCAATATTGCGTTAAGAGTTCCGCCGTTAAGAGACCTTTTATGATATCTAAATATTGTGTCAACAGTTCCTCCGTTTAGAGACCTTGTATTATATCTATATAGTGTGTTGTGCCCACAGTAACCCCGTTGAGAGACCTTGTATTATATCTATATAGTGTGTTGTGTCCACAGTACCTCCGTTTAGAGACCTTGTATTATATCTATATAGTGTGTTGTGTCCACAGTACCCCCGTTGAGAGACCTTGTATTATATCTATATAGTGTGTTGTGTCTACAGTTCCCCCGTTGAGAGACCTTGTATTATATCTTTATATTGTGTCCACAGTTCCCTTGTTGAGAGACCTTGTATTATATCTATATAGTGTGTTGTGTCCACAGTTCCCCCGTTGAGAGACCTTGTATTATATCTATTTATTGTCCACAGTTCCCCGTTGAGAGACCTTGTATTATATCTTCATTGTCCACAGTTCCCCCGTTGAGAGACCTTGTATTATATCTATTTTGTCCACAGTTCCCCCGTCGAGAGACCTTGTATTATATCTATATTGTCCACAGTTCCCCCGTTGAGAGACCTTGTATCATATCTATATTGTCCACAGTTCCCCCGTTGAAAGACCCTGTATTATATCTATATATTGTCCACAGTTCCCCCGTTGAGAGACCTTGTATTATATCTATATATTGTCCACAATTCTCTCGTTGAGAGACCTTGTATTATATCTATATATTGCCCACAGTTCCCCCGTTGAGAGACCTTGTATTATATCTATATTGTCCATAGTTCCCCCGTTGAGAGACTTATACTACCGGGAGTCGATGGATGGCCTGTACTCGTCCGTTACTTTTGTGATTGCCTACGCACTTTACGCCGTGCCTTTCCACGTGTTCAGCACCGTCTTATTCAGCATCGTCGTCTATTGGTCAGTATAGATGGTCAGCATCATCGTCTATTGGTCAGTATAGATGGTCAGCATCATCGTGTATTGATACCCGTGACTCTATTTGGAATTAAAATGATGACTGTTTCAAATAATCAAAATAATTTGGTTATTTTCCAAAATTCAGGACAAAATAATTTGGTTATTTTCCAAAATTCAGGAGAGATTTGTTTACATGTTCCTATCACCCTAGCGATACAAAGAAATCTTGTTTTCTCCGACAGGGCAACATCCATGTACAACGACTGGGTAAAGTACGCCATTTTTAACGCCGTCCTCACTCTGCTCCAGTTCGTGTACGAAATGCTGACCATCGGCGCTATGGGCTTTTTCCTTGACCCACGGCTCGCCATCAACGTGACCACCCTCATCATGACGTTCGGTTATCTCGTATCTTCAGGCCTCATCAGGTATGTACGGTGTACAAGAATCTTCTCTGAGTACACTATACTCAACAACCTTCTCACTTAAATAGTGTACATGGGTATATGTTGTCTACATCAGCTCTTTCATGTGTGCCTAGCAGTACCCCAACATCCGTCATTATGTTTCTGTCGCTCGACTCTATGTGATACATATAGACTTCCTCCGCTAGACTTCTCCCGTACACTTAAGTGTGATAATTAACATCGCACGAGTGACGTTGATCATTATGTATTAATCGCAAGGTTGGTCCAGCTATTGGGGTTGCATTTATTCTAGTTTTAAAACATACCATCATTTGCAGCTTAAAGTCATTTTCTGTTACTTTAAAGGAATTTATTGACACCATTTGTTGTATTTACATGTTGTGTTTTGTTTTTGTTCATTCTTTATTTCAACTAATGACTTGTAAATTGCGAAGTGGCCATATGGTACTGTAAATGTTAGTTTTGTTTGCCTTTCTACATCAAATTCCCTTTTTTCGTATGTCTACCCATGATTGCAATGCCACCATGCTGTATAATAATTATATTCATGTTACTGTTAATCTTCGACCATTTTTGAGATAATTTCGTCTAAGCACTGTCAGATAAAACATCAAAATAGACACCCGATATATGTAAAAATAGACACCCGGTATATGTAAAAAAAAAATAAGAGATTTCATTACTCAAGAAGGCTATTCCAATTTTTTCCATTCATTTTAAAAATTCTTAACAGAAGAACCTTCTTTCCTGTACGCAACATATTTTTGTACTGAATAGTGATCAATTATAGTATTAAGTAGTGCATTTACTGTATTTGTAATGCATCTTGTTTTGTAAAATATAATGCTTAATCATTAGTATGATTTCATTAGCAGGTCTATTGGCCATATGTTCTCCCATTTGTCATCATTAATATCAAAAAAGTTTTCCCCCCTTTTTTTTTTTGTAAGAACTGTTTAAAAATCTTTGGTCCCCTTCTTTTGTCTGTAAACAAATCTCTAAATTTAAAAGTAAAATAGGGTAAAAATGTCAATGTTTTATTGCGATTAATATTGTTTTGTGTAATGTATCTTCTTATTGCTGATAACATACCATAATACTGTAAGAAGTCTGTGCCTATGTCATATTTATCCTTAAATTCGTTCTGTGTATGAAAAATTTGTGTCACGTGGTAACCTGTTTCCAGACGCCTGGACAACATGCTGGACGTGATACAATAGTTAAGTTACGCCGGAGTACACAAGTACGCCTCACAAATACTGGTCGTCAATGAATTCGAAGACCTGGTGTTCGAATGTACCAACTCGTGTGAGTAAACAGATGTTAATGACAAAGCACCTATTACTATTTAGGTTAATGTGTAAACATGAATTGTAACAATGTCAATGGGTTCACATGAGACTAAACTCATTCTTGTTACCATATCATCATAGCGCTACTCCTCCCGCACTTTTCTGATTGAGCAAATGTTAGGTTGTGTTTATCTATAAATATAAAAACAGAAAAAAAATATAATGAAAATCCGTTTGCTTCGCACTCGTAAAAAGAAACGTTACCCTTCCATAATTGTGACAGAAATATAAGGTATTCAATATGAACAGTTTACTTTTTATGTCTTGGTTTGGTGACTTTATGATAAATCGTTACTTTTATAACTCGCTTTGGTGACGTTATGATAAATCGTTACTTTTATAACTCGCTTTGCTGACGCTATGATAAATTGTTACTTTATGTCTTGGTTTGGTAACGTTATGATAAATCGTTACTTTTATATCTCGTTTTGCTGACGCTATGATAAATTGTTACTTTATGACTTGGTTTGGTGACGTTATAATAAATTGTTACTTTTATAACTCGGTTTGGTAACGTTATGATGAAGGAAATCTTTATATTTGTAGCTATTTATCCCTGTCAATTTCGAAACGGAACTGACTTCATAGACGCCTACTTTCCCGGAGGACAGGACACGGTGACTCGAGACGCAGGGATTCTCGTGGGGTTCTTCGGGTTTTTTCTCCTTTTACCGATACTTACGTATACTTACAGAGGTGGAAGGAACCTCCATTAGTTTTAACGAGTTGAGAAGGTAAGGTGTTTTGGAGCTCTAATGAAGAAACGACATCTAGTGCCAAGCCGTGTGTTAGAGACAAAATCTCATGTGCAAAAAACAACACTACCTGACCTGTGACAAAGGCGTGTGTGGAATATGAGAGTGAACTTTGACGAGCAGAATGCTTTGTTTATGAAAGGGAATTCCTGATTGATCTCCAAATTTTTAAATCAATAAATTAAGGTTACGCTCTGTCCCTCTCTCTCTCTATCTCAACGGTAGTTTAGATAATAGGGGTTTCCAATGTTTGGCCCCTAGCTTCACCGTTGAGTCCTACAATGACGGAACAGCTGTATGCTGTAGTGTAATTCATTTTTGGCCTACTGTATGTTATGCAAAATGTTAATGTGCAGTCACATGTGTGAGTGCAACGGTCATCTGTCTTGACACGTGACAAAGCCAAGAAACATAAATAGCCATGCGAATGATCGAATTGTACGTTAAATGTTTCCAGACCGTTCCGTTGTTAAGTATGTCGAAGTATTGGGCCAGTGCAATACGACAGGCTCAAAAGGAGTCTGTCCCCTTTGATATAAGACATAATATGTAGTCCTATATGAGAAACCTGAATAAGGGTTTAATATATGACCACGTATAATGCTATAAATTGTAACCCTAAACAGGGTTTGCTATAAGATGATTTATACGAAGTGTACTTTCTGTATCACAAATGCACAAATGCAGCATGCATCGAGACAATAGAAACAAAAGAGCAGGGTCGTACGTCCCAAACTAAACACTGTTAAATTCCGTAAATCATTATTCAATTTCGGCAGTGGTCCATATGACATATACATGTATAACGCGCACTTTCATGGAGTTTTACAAATCTTCTTCGCCGTAAATGTTATGAAACAAGTTTTAAAAAGTCCATCTCACTATCATCCCTGCATTTGGTTCTAACCTTAAAAATACCTGTTGAACCCATCATTGTCCAATGATGGCGACTTATTATGTTTACTTGACTTTTGTTCAGAAGGTTATTTAAGAGCATTATCAAATGATAGTGAAAATCGGCAATTATTTTTATCAGATGGGCCTCTAATTGTTGTGACAAGTTAAAATGTAAAGTGCGAGTGTGCCGGTAGATTCCACTGGAGTATTTGTGCCATTGATGCTGACATTGTTTTCACTAATTCATTCACTCACTGTACATACGTCCATGTCGATATTTATTGTTAACAAACGCCATGTCTATTATTTGTTTGTTGAAATAGTTGGCTGATGTTTGACGTTTTACGCATTAAAATGTAAGCCCCTCCACAAATGTGTTTGTTTTGGAAGTAGTATCATATCTTGTCATATCAAAGGTATATGTTTACGACTGAGAATAGGGAAATATATTGTGATAAATGTTTAAGTAGTTTCTATCCACTGAAATCACCATCAAAGTATAAACAGAATACCACAGTAGCACAACAGCTAGTAACATAAGAGGGTAGTAACACAACATGGTAGTAGCATAAGAGGGAAGTGAAACAGCAGGGTTATAACATAATAGGGTAGTAACACAACAGGTAAATAACATAAGAGGGTATTAAGACAAAAGGCAAATAATCTAAGAGGGAAGTAAAACAACAGGCTTATAACATAGGATGTTAGTAACACAACAGGCAAATAACATAAGAGGGTAGTAACATAAAAGGCAAATAACATAAGAGGGAAGTAAAACAGTAGGCTAATAAAATATGAGGGAAGTTTCACAACAGGCTAGTAACATAAGAGGGAAGTAACACAACAGGCAAATAACAAAAGAGGGTGGTAAAACAAAAGGCAAATAATCTAAGAGGGAAGTAAACCAACAGGCTAATATTATAAGAGGGGAGTATCACAACAGGTTAGTAACATAAGAGGGCAGTCACACAAAGGCAAATAATCTAAGAGGGAAGTAACACAACATGCTATTAACATAAGAAGGAAGTAACACAAAAGGCAAATAATCTAAGAGGGAAGTAACACAACAGGCTAATAACATAAGAAGGTAGTAACACAAAAGGCAAATAATCTAAGAGGGAAGTAAAACAATAGGCTAATATCATAAGAGGTTAGTAACACAACAGGCTAATAACATAAGAGGGTAGTAACACAACAGGCTTATAACATAGGAGGGTAGTAACAGAAAAGGCAAATAACATAAGAGGGAAGTAAAACAACAGGCTAATAACATAAGAGGGAAGTAAAACAACAGGCAAGCAAATAACAAAAGAGGGAGGTAACACAACAGGCAAATAATATAAGAGGGTAGTAAAACAAAAGGCAAATAATCTAAGAGGGAAGTAAACCAACAGGCTAATAACATAAGAGGTTAGTAACATAACAGGCTAATAACGTAAGAGGGAAGTAAAACAACAGGCTAATAGCATAGGAAGTTAGTAACACAATAAGCAAATTACATAAGAGGGTAGTAACATAAAAGGCAAATAACATAAGAGGGTAGTAAAACAACAAGCAAATAACATGAGAGGGAAGTAAAACAACAGGCAAATAACATAAGAAGGAAGTATCACAACAGGTTAGTAACATAAGAGGGTAATAACACAACAGGCATATAACATAAGAGGGTAGTAAAACAAAAGGCAAATAATCTAAGAGGGAAGTAAAACAACAGGCTAATAGCATAGGAAGTTAGTAACACAATAAGCAAATTACATAAGAGGGTAGTAACATAAAAGGCAAATAACATAAGAGGGTAGTAAAACAACAAGCAAATAACATGAGAGGGAAGTAAAACAACGGGCTAATAACAGAGGAGGGTAGCAACACAACAGGCTAATAACATAAGAGGGTAGTAACACAACAGGCTAGTAGTGTAAATACACAAACCATCTGTCAAACCTAACATTTTTTTGCTTTCGTTTTTTAATTCAGTAAAACGTTTCCCACGTTTTCATCATCACAAAAATACATATTGATTAAATGTACGTCTTACCTCTTGCTTATTTACAAATTATATGTCAAACAAGCATGTTCTTTTGTCGTTTCCGGTAGTTCAAGGGACATTATAAACTTTATATATAAGTATAGTAAAACATACGTTATAATTCAGTTGATACAAGGACTCAAGTCTGTTTAGTACGTGCGCACCAAGTCACGTGTCAGAAAAGTCACAAACCCACATGTGATTCCTCGTGCTCATTATACAAGGTAGATACACACAGGTAAGATAATGACTTATTCATTGAACAGCGATATTAGTCGATACGAGACACTCGCACGTTCCTCATCACCCTTCACACCTGTATGTGAGATACATGTCGTACACACGCTAGTATGATATATGTGTTTATCCTTCTCTCATAACCTACAATGTCATGGCTAGCATATTATTAAGGATTTTATGCAAGTTGTGCCCTGACCACAGGATTTTTGATAGTGTCAATGTACACCATTTTTGAAACCAAGTTGCAAATAGAACCACACCAGATTACTGCCCAGTCGTCATACATCGCATTCGTTAGTGATTCGGGAAACGTCGTACCTTTCTGCAGTAGACGACGAGGTGGGGCCCATACATTGTTACTATATGTTCCTTCAAATAATAGATTTGGCGATCCATGAATCATGATGGGTATGTCATCTTGCAAATCATCAAATGCATCTTTTTCCGATAGAGAAACATTCCGCCTCAAATATTTTAGAAAGGAATTTTTTTTATCATAAATTAAACGTGCAATTGAATTATATAGTATGTATCTTTGTTGATATGCGTTTTTGCTCAATCTTATTATTATTATACATAAAGGATATTTAATGGTCACCAGATGACAATAGGCTTAACATAAAACTACTTTATCAATCACCTACACCATTGCTCTATTTATCTACGTCACTGTTTACTGATACTGCACAACCGTTTAACTTTGACTAAGTACTGGTCTTGTCACGGTACGCTAAACTCCCACTCATATAACGTCACTGTTAACTGATACTGCACAACCGTTTAACTTTGACAGCCGTACTGGTCTTGTCACGGTACACTAAACTCTCACTCATATAACGNGAACTCTCACTCATAAAACGTCACTGTTTACTGATACTGCACAACTGTTTAACATTGTCTACCGTACTGGTCTTGTCACGGTACGCTGAACTCTCACTCATATAACGTCACTGTTTACCTGAAACTACACCTCTGTTATACTTACTATCCCTTTTTTGCTTGAATTCAAATTCTGTTATTCCAAACTGCACTCACATATTAATTTACTTATACTACTCTATTGTCATACGTACATTAAACTACTATTTACTAACCAAGGTTTATCTAAACTACAATGTCGGTTTAAATAGATAGGCAATTGGAAATAGATTGTAAGTTAATGGTAATATTCAGCCAATTAGGCCGGGGTTTTCCTTAAAATATAAAAAATATGGTTCAGCACAATTCTTACACTCCATATATATACCCCATCCTTATTATCGCCAACAGCCTCTTGACTGTGGTTTACCAACCCTGCCTGAATGATATCGGAAAAGTCTCAACTATACCATCCTGTTATTGTCGGTCCTGTATCTCTGGAGAATGACCATGTTACGTACAAAACTTAAACTCAATGACATGCAAGTATGAAAGTCAAACATCAGAGTAAAAATCAAAGTAAATTTTTTTATTAGTCCGCAATGCCTATTGGGTGGCTATAGCAACTTCTAATGAACAGTCGCTCCAACATTTAACAAGTCCATCGTATAAATATATATCAAAGACGTTTGCAAAAAGAAAGCTCTTTAACCTAATCCTTGTAGTCCATTGTTGTCTTCATATAACATTTTACGACCTCATAATTAACGCAACACTGGCGCCTAAATCCTGACATGGTGTTTTGTGGGGGAAAACCAAAACAGGCTAAAAAATAAAAAAATAAATACTTTCCTATATCTCCAGCAATGCTGAACTCTTAAGGAACCACAATGTGAAATATGAGCACCCTATTACAAATATTTCATTCAATATTAATCAATTTTAAAACTTGCACCAAAGCATGAACCTGTCAATTCTTGCAAAAAGCTAAAGTAAAAAACAGGTGACAATTGTGAAGATTAGATACTACTTGTTTTACTACCCTACAAGAAAGTTGAACCTGTAGGTAACGTCCAGGCTTAATACCAGCCTTCTGTTACAAACATTCCATGTAATCTTCATGAAATTCAACAATTGCATCTAAACCCTTACCTCTAAGTTTGGGCAAAAAAGGTTAAGTCTAAAACAGATGAGCACAATAGCCCCGTGATCGAGCTGTAACATTTCAAGGTAAGAGTTATCTTTCTTTATGTAGTACTAAGATCTCACTTGTCAAGAATCAAACAGATCACAGACTTTTGATTTAGACCTGTATCTTCAATACAAATAAATGTATGAAATACAAAATGTTTCATACATTCATTTATATATTTGTATTGAAGATCATATTCAAAATATTTTGATTAATTTTATGTGTGACCACTATTGATGCAACCTCAGTATACAGGTACAGTTACTATGACAACATGTACACGTCCGGCGTGTATACCAGCTAGTATGTATTCGCATCGTCATACTAATGATGACGTCAAACATTGGGCCATGGCATTCATAACTGATATGAATGCCTTATGAATATAGTAGGGTTATATGGTGGCAAAGTCGTATGGTGGTATGCATATTTATATAAAGTTATAGCTTGTCAAATATGTACTAAGCATGATTGTTATTTTAGTTTTATATTAACTATAGTAGGTATAACGTTAGCAAAACTGTTAAATAAACTAACTTAAAATCCTATGTTAATCATTTTGACGTTTTTTCAGTTGATGTTTCTTGTATTTCTATTTAGATATAGCGCCCTATCTAGCTAGAATAAAGCCACTCTCAAGCGCTGTACAGCACGTAGATATACAATTTATACAATCAATACAATCGTGATGAATTCACAGGAGCTGCTTTATCAGGCGCTAACTACTAGTCATATGTCACCTGGAATAAACACACGTGGGCATATTTTACTCAATGTAAACCTTTATTGATCCATGCAACTGTTTCATGTGAGGTTTCCTATATAGACACACGTGTTACAGTGAAATTAAAACAATGGTTCGAAACTATAGTTCTTTTATTATGAACGATCAATTCGCGCAGTTTAGTCTTATACAACATTACCAGAAATATATCCTGGTCATTTCTCACAATTTTTGTGTCGTCATTATTCGTCCAATCAGAAGTGAGCATTGCTTTAAAGAATAACCAGTCAGTGTTGGTTTGGGTTTTATCATATAAAACACAACACCTGAACAATACTAATAAAGAAAAAATGCGTTTTCCGAGAATACCCTGTATGCCACAAAGCAGGTAAGTGATGCTACTACATTTGTAAATACCCTGTTTTCCTGTCGCGATTGTAGAACTAAAACGGTACGGTTATACACGCTGATCACTATTACTGAACTTAAAGCGAACTACATCTGTGAACTATCCAAGTGTAAAAATCCAAACAATCAGATTAGATGTCTGTGAAAAACCGCTTGAACTGTCAGGCAAAATGTTAATGATTACAAAATCGCAGACAATATGTCCTGCTGGATATACAAACGAATTCCTTATTTGTCTTCTCTCTGTAATAGTTTTAAAATCTGAAAAACAATGCATGTGTTTGCAGCATTTACAGGAAATGCTCTTATGAATGTCACCAGAGTTCCCTTGAAGAACACTGGTAACCCCTCGGCCTTAAAGCTTTGTATCGCACAGTCCGTGATACTTCTGTATTGACCCACCATATCACCTTGGTAACGGCTCTTGATCACGTCAAACGGCATACCCACGCCCCAGTTAATGCACCCGGCACACCCTCCGCTGACACTATCGGCCACCAATCCCCGAGAGTCCGTCAGGCCCCGGTCCTGGAGAAAACGTTTCACTTGATGAAAGTTGACCATAAAAAGGCCTCCTAGGGGAACCTCGCGACAGATCATCAGCGATGCCCCCTTGTAAAACCCAACAAGACCCTGTTTTCGTTGTACGTGCAGCCCAACATCCAAAGGACCACGAAAGTACTTAGTTTTGCCACCTGAAAATAAAAAGCTGTGAAACTAAATTCATGCTTTAGGACATAAAGAAGTTCAGATATACAAAGCTATGAAACTAAATGCATGCTTTAGGACATAAAGAAGTTCAGATATACAAAGCTGTGAAACTAAATTCATGCTTTAGGACATAAAGAGTTCAAATATACAAAGCTGTGAAACTAAATTCATGCTTTAGGACATAAAAACGTTCAGATATACAAAGCTGTGAAACTAAATTCATGCTTTAGGACATAAAGAAGTTCAAATCATAATACAAAGAAATGTAAAGTTTTATCAATAACGTTCATTGAAGGTAAATTAATATCATCGAGCAATAATTTGAGCTGGATAATGGGTTTTTTTCACTTGTAATTAAATATCCCTATTTTGATACTAACAGGCTATATTATTCTGCCAATGCGATGATGCAGCTTGTGATTGGAGAACCACTTTGACGTAATCCACTGGAATGACAAACGTCATTTCCGCCAGACTGCCAATACACCCGGCGACATAGCGGTACCGGCTGTCGACGTCTGCTGTGTGGTGTCCTTGAGTTAACAGTTTCAACGCTGCATTGTTTACTCCCCAGAACACGGAGTTGGTGAAGATGACAGTACACAGTGGCCAGGAAAGTCCCCTCAGTAAGCCGTCAGACTGGAACACATCAATAGTAAGCTATACTATTGACATTCATTTGTCCTACCACGGCTCCTATTGCAATATGCTCGGTGGGACGGTTACTACATCTGTTCAGAGGAACATTATTGTGACGACATCAGTTAGATTTTAACATCACGGATATTACAGCATTAAGATTCCACGAACTAACGTTAGAGGGATAAATACATTGTACTCTATTAAAACGTAAACAGTAGAAGATTTCTGTTAATAAACCCTGTAAGGGTTCTAAAACACGCATTGTTTAAATAACAAACACAAAACCTCATTTCTTTCTTGTTTCTATATTTTCTTTCATGCTGTGAATGTCTTCAAAAAGATCAACTGCAGGGTTACATTTTCGTGATATCAATCGGATTCGATTGGACGTCATATCTAGATCTAGGCTTTATCAAAACAATATTTAGAAAGAGACTTACAAGTTTACTTCTGTAGATTCCGGAGAGGATGGCAGGGAGTCTGACATCTGACCTTGTCTGCTGAATGACCTGATAATAGAGAGTAAAATAGAGAGTACTTCAAGGAAACTGTCGAATGTTGCATTGGTAGTTCAAGTAAACTATCGAATGTTGCATTGGTAGTTCATAGAAACTATCGAATGTTGCATTGGTAATTCATCGAAACTATTGAATGTTGCATTGGTAGTTCAAGGAAATCATCGAAAGGGAGTACTTCAAGGTCGGGAAGCAAAGGAGTGTTCCCATTGAATTATCGAAAGTTACGAGAGTATTTCTCGGAAAATATCGAAAGGGAGTACTTCAAGGTCGGGAAGCGAAGGAGTGCTCACATTGAATTATCGAAAGTTAAGGGAGTATTTCTCGAACAGATCGAAAGGGAGTACTTCAAGGTCGGGAAGCAAAGGAGTGCTCCCATTGAATTATCGAAAGTCACGGGAGTACTTCTCGGAAAAGATCGAAAGGGAGTACTTCAAGGTCGGGAAGCAAAGGAGAGCTCCCATTGAATTATCGAAAGTTACAGGAGTACTTCTCGGAAAAGATCGAAAGGGAGTACTTCAAGGTCGGGAAGCGAAGGAGTGCTCCCATTGAATTATCGAAAGTTACGGGATTACTTCTCGGAAAAGCTCGAAAGGAAGTACTTCAAGGTCGGGAAGCAAAGGAGTGCTCCCATTGAATTATCGAAAGTTACAGGAGTACTTCTCGGTAAAGATCGAAAGGGAGTACTTCAAGGTCGGGAAGCAGTACTCCCGTTAGGATATCGAAAGTTTACGGGAGTACTCCATAGAATCTACCGAATGTTAAAGGAGTATCAATGGAAAGTTGAGAGAGTAAAAGCTCGTTTTACCTTAACCGTGTCGAACGGATAACCAACTAACACCACGGCTATACCTGTAACACAAAGTCAATAAAACTGTCTATTCCAAAATCTTTATTTATTTACACGAAAGAACAATGTAGATTATGGTGCTGTTAATTTTGATATGTGAAGTAGGAAATAAAACTTTACCATACTGTTAACACAAGTTTGAATAAAGAACTGAAAGTCGGCAAGACATCAGAACAAATGTGATGAATATTTGTAGTCTACTGAGAAGTATAATAGCAAAATAAAACGCTTCAACAAAACATCGACAAAATATACCACTGAGTCAGTACATGTGGACAAATATAACCACAACGTAAACATTCAACAACAAAATATACCACTGCGTCAGTACACGAGGACAAATATAACCACAATGTAAACATCTAACGACAAAATATGCCACTGAGTCAGTACATGTGGACAAATATAATCAAAACGTAAACATTCAACAACAAAATATGCCACTGAGTCAGTACATGTGGACAAATATAATCAAAACGTAAACATTCAACGACAAAATATACCACTGAGTCAGTACATGTGGACAAATATAACGACAACGTAAACATTCAACGACAAAATATACCAATGAGTCAGTACATGAGGAAAAATAAATAATCGCAACTTAAACATTCAACGACAAAATATATCACTGAGTCAGTACATGAGGACAAATATTACCACAACGTAAACATTTAACGACAAAATATACCAATGAGTCAGTACATGTGGACAAATATAACCACAACGTAAACATTCAACGACAAAATATACCAATGAGTCAGTACATGTGGACAAATATAACCACAACGTAAACATTCAACGACAAAATATACCAATGAGTCAGTACATGTGGACAAATATAACCACAACGTAAACATTCAACGACAAAATATACCAATGAGTCAGTACATGTGGACAAATATAACCACAACGTAAACATTCAACGACAAAATATACCAATGAGTCAGTACATGTGGACAAATATAACCACAACGTAAACATTCAACGACAAAATATACCACTGAGTCAGTACATGTGGACAAATATAACCACAACGTAAACATTCAACGACAAAATATACCAATGAGTCAGTACATGTGGACAAATATAACCACAACGTAAACATTCAACGACAAAATATACCAATGAGTCAGTACATGTGGACAAATATAACCACAACGTAAACATTCAACGACAAAATATACCAATGAGTCAGTACATGTGGACAAATATAACCACAACGTAAACATTCAACGACAAAATATACCAATGAGTCAGTACATGTGGACAAATATAACCACAACGTAAACATTCAACGACAAAATATACCAATGAGTCAGTACATGTGGACAAATATAACCACAACGTAAACATTCAACGACAAAATATACCAATGAGTCAGTACATGTGGACAAATATAACCACAACGTAAACATTCAACGACAAAATATACCAATGAGTCAGTACATGTGGACAAATATAACCACAACGTAAACATTCAACGACAAAATATACCACTGAGTCAGTACATGTGGACAAATATAACCACAACGTAAACATTCAACGACAAAATATACCAATGAGTCAGTACATGTGGACAAATATAACCACAACGTAAACATTCAACGACAAAATATACCAATGAGTCAGTACATGTGGACAAATATAACCACAACGTAAACATTCAACGACAAAATATACCAATGAGTCAGTACATGTGGACAAATATAACCACAACGTAAACATTCAACGACAAAATATACCAATGAGTCAGTACATGTGGACAAATATAACCACAACGTAAACATTCAACGACAAAATATACCAATGAGTCAGTACATGTGGACAAATATAACCACAACGTAAACATTCAACGACAAAATATACCAATGAGTCAGTACATGTGGACAAATATAACCACAACGTAAACATTCAACGACAAAATATACCAATGAGTCAGTACATGTGGACAAATATAACCACAACGTAAACATTCAACGACAAAATATACCAATGAGTCAGTACATGTGGACAAATATAACCACAACGTAAACATTCAACGACAAAATATACCAATGAGTCAGTACATGTGGACAAATATAACCACAACGTAAACATTCAACGACAAAATATACCACTGAGTCAGTACATGAGGAAAAATAAATAATCGCAACTTAAACATATCACTGAGTCAGTACATGAGGACAAATATTACCACAACGTAAACATTTAACGACAAAATATACCAATGAGTCAGTACATGTGGACAAATATAACCACAACGTAAACATTCAACGACAAAATATACCAATGAGTCAGTACATGTGGACAAATATAACCACAACGTAAACATTCAACGACAAAATATACCAATGAGTCAGTACATGTGGACAAATATAACCACAACGTAAACATTCAACGACAAAATATACCAATGAGTCAGTACATGTGGACAAATATAACCACAACGTAAACATTCAACGACAAAATATACCAATGAGTCAGTACATGTGGACAAATATAACCACAACGTAAACATTCAACGACAAAATATACCAATGAGTCAGTACATGTGGACAAATATAACCACAACGTAAACATTCAACGACAAAATATACCAATGAGTCAGTACATGTGGACAAATATAACCACAACGTAAACATTCAACGACAAAATATACCAATGAGTCAGTACATGTGGACAAATATAACCACAACGTAAACATTCAACGACAAAATATACCAATGAGTCAGTACATGTGGACAAATATAACCACAACGTAAACATTCAACGACAAAATATACCAATGAGTCAGTACATGTGGACAAATATAACCACAACGTAAACATTCAACGACAAAATATACCAATGAGTCAGTACATGTGGACAAATATAACCACAACGTAAACATTCAACGACAAAATATACCACTGAGTCAGTACATGTGGACAAATATAACCACAACGTAAACATTCAACGACAAAATATACCACTGAGTCAGTACATGAGGACAAATATAACCACAACGTAAACATTCAACGACAAAATATACCACCCTGTCAGTACATGAGGACAAATATAACCACAACGTAAACATTCAACGACAAAATATTCCACTGTGTCAGTACATGCGGACAAATATAACCACAACGTAAACATTCAACGACAAAATATACCAATGAGTCAGTACATGTGGAAAAATATAACCACAGCGTAAACATTCAACGACAAAATATACCACTGTGTCAGTACATACGGACAAATATAACCACAACGTAAACATTCAACGACAAAATATTCCACTGAATCAGTACATGAGGAAAAATAAATAATCGCAACTTAAACATTCAACGACAAAATATATCACAGAGTCAGTACATGAGGACAAATATAACCAAAACGTAAACATTCAACAACAAAATATACCACTGAGTCAGTACATGAGGACAAATATAACCACAACGTTAACATTCAACGACAAAATCTGAACTTAAAGTCAACTTGTAAAAAGCAACAGCAGAAATAATCACGACAAGAGGAAAGACATATGTTCACGAAAGGAACGACATCGTGATCCCCAGATGATCACGAAAGGAACGAGTTTTACATGGACCACGTTCGGTATCTGCATGACCTTCTATTCATTTCTGGAAGACAGGAAGGTCAACAATGACCTTTAACACGGTTAATAAGTCATAAATCATCAAAGACATTTAAATTTCACGAGTGAAGTATTTTAAAGATTGTGCATTGAAAATAATGAATGCTTTAAATGTGCCTTTTTGATTTATAAGTTAATTTGTCTAGATGTATACAGTCAGGAAGACTAGTAGACTTGAAGTAAAACTGCCATTAAACGCAGATCAATGTTCTCCTTTTGTCGCTAGAGTTGTTCAAAGATATTAAGTGTATCTTTAAGGCTGTTTAGAATGTACAATGTATGTGAAACCCTTTTATTATATGAATTCTAAAAATAAAAGAACTCAAAAGATCATAATTATGAGATAACGTGCAGATTGCCTGCCCCATTAGAGTACCTGCGGATTTTCTCTTACTTAAAGCTATTATACTCAATGAATACCAGGTTCACTTTCAACGTCTAGTACACATTACCTGTACTTATCTGCCTGTGTAACAATGTAAGACATCAAATCTTTCAATTAAGATGTCATTGTGAATTTTTGTACTTTCCATATCCCCTGTATCATTATTGAATTATTAAATAATATTATTTTATAATCTGATGTACCATGTCGACTCCTAGTACTTCATTCAGTACTCAACATAGAACCTACCACCTAGTACTTCATTCAGTACTCAGTATAGAACCTACCACCTAGTACTTCACTCAGTACTCAACATCGAACTTACCACCTAGTACTTCATTCAGTACTCAACATAGAACCTACCACCCAGTACTTCATTCAGTACTCAACATAGAACCTACCTACCACCTAGTACTTCATTCAGTACTCAACATAGAACCTACCACCCAGTACTTCATTCAGTACTCAACATAGAACCTACCTACCACCTAGTACTTCATTCAGTACTCAACATAGAACCTACCACCCAGTACTTCATTCAGTACTCAACATAGAACCTACCACCCAGTACTTCATTCAGTACTCAACATAGAACCTACCACCCAGTACTTCATTCAGTACTCAACATAGAACCTACCACCCAGTACTTCATTCAGTACTCAACATAGAACCTACCACCCAGTACTTCATTCAGTACTCAACATAGAACCTACCACCCAGTACTTCATTCAGTACTCAACATAGAACCTACCACCCAGTACTTCATTCAGTACTCAACATAGAACCTACCACCCAGTACTTCATTCAGTACTCAACATAGAACCTACCACCCAGTACTTCATTCAGTACTCAACATAGAACCTACCACCCAGTACTTCATTCAGTACTCAACATAGAACCTACCACCCAGTACTTCATTCAGTACTCAACATAGAACCTACCACCCAGTACTTCATTCAGTACTCAACATAGAACCTACCACCCAGTACTTCATTCAGTACTCAACATAAAACCTACCACCGAGTACTTCATTCAGTACTCAACATAGAACCTACCACCCAGTACTTCACTCAGTACTCAACATAGAACCTACTACCCAGTACTTCATTCAGTACTCAACATAGAACCTACCACCCAGTCCTTCACTCAGTACTCAACATAGAACCTACTACCCAGTACTTCACTCAGTACTCAACATAGAACCTACCACCCAGTCCTTCACTCAGTACTCAACATAGAACCTACTACCCAGTACTTCACTCAGTACTCAACATAGAACCTACTACCCAGTACTTCATTCAGTACTCAACATAGAGCCTACCACCCAGTTCTTCATTCAGTACTCAACATAGAACCTACCACCTATTACTTCATTCAGTACTCAACATAGAACCTACCACCCAGTACTTCATTCAGTACTCAACATAGAACCTACCTACCACCTATTACTTCATTCAGTACTCAACATAGAACCTACCACCTATCACTTCATTCAATACTCAACATAGAACCTACCACCTATTACTTCATTCAGTACTCAACATAGAACCTACCTACCACCTATTACTTCATTCAGTACTCAACATAGAACCTACCACCCAGTACTTCATTCAGTACTCAACATAGCACCGACCACCTAGTTCTCCATTCAGTATTCAACATAGAACCTACCACCTAGTACTTCATTCAGTACTCAACATAAAACCTACCACCTAGTACTTCATTCAGTACTCAACATAAAACCTACCACCTAGTACTTCATTCAGTACTCAACATAAAACCTACCACCCAGTACTTCATTCAGTACTCAAAATAGAACCTACTACCCAGTACTTCATTCAGTACTCAACATAGAACCTACCTACCACCTATTACTTCATTCAGTACTCAACATAGAACCTACCACCTATCACTTCATTCAGTACTCAACATAGAACCTACCTACCACCTATTACTTCATTCAGTACTCAACATAGAACCTACCACCTAGTGCTTCATTCAGTACTCAACATAGAACCTACCACCCAGTACTTCATTCAGTACTCAACATAGAACCTACCACCTACCGTATTTTGACGCATGTGTTGTAATGCTGCTTTTTGACTAAAGTTGTCGGTCAATTTCAATTAGATCGTGGCGAATAAAAAATATCCTTTCTACATATTAGATTTAATAATGAAGCACTTATCTTGCAACCTTTGTTCTATAACAGCTTAACTAACCATGGGATTAAAACAATTATGCAGCGACATTATTCAAATTGTAGTGCGACATATACAAGAAAGAAAACTCAGCTTTTCCTTGATAAATAGTAAAATCTTCCTCTTTTCTTATCCAATATAATTAAATTTAGAAGTTATTGTATCTAATTTTAAACCTGAAAAAACTGACGGCTTCCATCCTTATACAAAAGAAATGCAACAACGTCATTACAAAATACAATCAAACATTTTAAAAACGATGTAAGGAATACACTTAAATGTCTTTTAGTAAGACGATGCAGAAAATGTAACACAGAAAACATAAAGTCTGTTTCGATCTAATTATTGGTACTAAAGATCAAAAGAAAATCAATAGCCTAAATGCTTCAATACAAATGTTTACATACAGCGAACAAGGAAAGAGTGTCTATAAAACCCTTGTTTAACGTTACTAATGTATAGCTTTGACTACAACAGGTAACATATCTCTATCTAGTGTTTTACAGTAGACCAAGCACCTTGTAGCGTCAAATATCAACTAAAATATGACAAAATATATCTCAAATTAGAAAACCAAATTGGACAACGACAGGACGCAGAAATGAAAATGAACTGTGATGTGTATTTCATTGACAGTGTGTGTAGGCATACCCTTTTAGGGGGGGGGGNGGGGGCTGACGTGTATACTAATGACTCAAATAATCTCTGTGTATTGTGCAAATATTTCTATGTATCAATCATGTGACTCGACAACACGCTCTCACCATGATCCTTCCCTGTCGAGATTGTATACTAATATTGTCATCAAAGTAAACAGCTCATTAAATTAACAACCCGAGCCCTACCACTGATCAGGTCAAATTGGCGATAACACGCCTTACTGTTCTCTTGCATCATAAAAAGCATTACTTTGTCCTAAAACAGCTCTAATGGTATTCATGATCTTGATGTTTTCCTCATGGAGAACGTACCGGTTCTTATTTCTAATGACGTTGTTTAACGTTAATGTTGATTGTACGTGTGGCTTCTAACCACTTAAACATTTTCCATCATCTGCGGGTGCTTCTTTAATAAGTGTCTGTTTATCAAAGGTTAAATTAAGTCACTACTATTTACCTCCAACAGCTCCTGCTAGAAAGCCATGAAAGGAATTGTCTGCCATCTCTCAAGGACAACGTGCTTCGGAATGTTAAATGTTCCTCGGTCGATGGATTCTTTGGTGTAGAGACATTGAATTATGTGCGATTCTAATGATAATGCCACATGTTAATTGTTTGTTTAAGTTTAATTGCAAAATAGATATCAGGCCTAGAGAAGACTGCATTTAAATCAGACCATCCAATCAGGTATACTTGCCAGTTTTGTTCTTTACTTTCGTACGTATTTTATACCGTTAATCACTTAATACACGATTCACAATTCACTCTCTTTTTAAACACAGTCGCATTAGATCATATATTTCAGTGAGAGGCTTATTGAAATACTTGTTGCTGTAGATATTAAACCACTACTTACCTATCGGGTATCCGTCGGGTGGTAGTGCAAGTTCCCAAGAACTTGGTATATATACCTAGTTATAAAAAAGTATTGCGTCAGACCATTTTTGTTTCAATTTTCCTTTCTTTGTTTGATGTGATTAATGTTACTTCCCTGTGATGACTCTGACCTGTACCAGGTGCACGTATACTTACACCCGGTTACGTACAGGACATTCAGTAGATACCGACTCAGCATGGTGCTAGACCTGCGCACATTCTCTAAGTTCCCTAATTAAATAGCATTGCCCTCAGGGTATTCATACGAGCTTATGTTTTAGACAACAAACGGAATCTATACACTGAAATGGGATGAGAAATACAGATGACTTTGGATCAATGCTATAACCAATATGTAGTTGTTAAATTGGATGTAAAAAAGAAGTTAAAGGTTTGCATATATTTGATAAAAGTGTTATTATTGTCAACGGGGGTCTTGGAATTATCAGAGGAATTTAATCGACCAGCTCAGTGGTCTGGAGGTGATGTAAGCGTCCACATTAGGTGTACAAAATGCGTCACGTCATGTTCCCTGATCCAATAAAACCAGAACACGGCAAAAATTTAATATTTCTGAACAACACTTTTTTCAATAGATCATCAATTTTGAACATCAAATATCATTTATTGAATTAAAAAAACACATTGAAATTCCAAACGGTCTTTTCGAGGCAATTTTGTGCATTGTGATTAAGAATCACCGAGCTACATTGTAATGCATTAAGAACTCCCGGGGAGTATACTACAAACGCAAGAATGTCACCAATCCCCGGCAAAGTGGGAAAACTCGCATTATATCTAGAAACATGGTTTGCCAGGTTGGTTAATATGAAAAATGGAATGGAATTCACGTTACAACACCAGACTGGGCAAAACGTGTTCAAATTTAATTTCAATACATTTGTCATTTTGAGCAGATATCGTAACCTGGTTTTAGCTGGGTATAGATATGTCTGACTGATCAATCTTCCTACGAATCGACACCGTACAAATAACTAAAAAGGTTTTATTATATCTTGTGATATGGTATTTCTTTGTCGGTATGAGATCGATGTGTTTGATTACGCTCATTAGTGTAGTTTTGTTTTCTCTAAAGGAGTTCTCGATCTAAGGGCGTGACATTACTTGGATTTATATAGCGGGTGTCATCGATGAAGTAGATGACGCTTACCCTTCCGGAACATCTGGTCTTTTTCTCCTTGTAATATTTCAATCATCATATTGTGCCGTAGTGTTATCGATTTTGAGATCGAATTATGCTTTTGTTGACGCTTCGGTATTCTCCTGGTGTTTTTTAGTTGTGTTACATGAACTTCGGTACTAAAACATGTGTCATGGACTTTTATTAATAATAAAGTCGATATTATATTTTCAATTCGTTTCAAGAAAAACACACATTGGAAACGCAGTACGTTTTAATGTATAAATTATATAAACAATTGCTATGCCTAGAATGTGTCATCTACTGTCAAGGTACTGGAGTATTTGTGAGTATACTACAAACGTCACAGCGTTCACTGGAAACGCTCGGACACAAGTCACGGCACAGCCCCTGTAGAACACTCGGAGTCCTTCTGCCTTGTAGCTCTTGACTGCACAATCCAACGGCCCATTGTACTGGCCAAGCAGATCTGCTTGGTAACGGCTCTTAACGACATCAATCGGCATTATTGAGAACCAAGTTATACTTCCGGCACAGCCACCAGCAATGAAGTCCGCTATGAACCCCTTGGAGTCAGTCCAGCCCTTACTTTTCAGACCTTCACTGAAGGACTCATAGACAAGCAGAAAGAGTCCGTAAGACGGCACTTCTCGCCAAAACATGGCGCCGCCACCTTTGTATAATCCTGATAATCCCTTGGTTCTGTACACGTGCTTAGCGCATTGTATTGGTCCCTTGAAATAAGGATCCTTGCCTGGTGTGTGAACTGTAATGGGAAAAAAACTACTGTTAATTATCGACCATTTTTCTTGTTTGCAACAGTGTTAATACTAACAGCATGTACAGTAACAGTCCTGCAGGTGGGAGATCGGGAAAAGAATACACCTGCTGTTACCCACTGCATGTTTCGTAGGAGGCGACTAATATGGAAACCCCCTGCTGAATTGGGGATTTGCTTTGGTGTCCTCTATTTGGGGACACAAAAGCGACCAAAATAAATCTGCTGCACCCATTGCAATATTTGGGATCTTTATCTTTCTTTTTAGTTCTAAATACCTTTTATTTCCTAGCGCCTTGCTTGGCAACACCTCACTTTTGCCCTTAGTGTTGAGCGTTTGCTCAGGTGAGGAAGGCAATGGGTTCCGTCCCCAGGCCGGGACATACCAAAGTCTTAAAAATGGTAGTTGTTATTACCTACTTAACGTTCAACATTTAGGGGAATGGCAACAACTGGTTCATCCGTTGTCAGTATAATGTGACCGGGCGGATTGCTATGCTTGGTGCCTTCGTCATTGTATGTCAGTGAGATAGCACTTTAAAGTCGGCATCAGATCCGACCTATCACAAGGAGACAAGCACACACACACGCAAGCACGCATAAACTACACACATGGAGGCACAACCTTAAATGACCTTAGCTGTTAAATAGGACGTTATCCAAAATTAAACCAAACCAAACCAAATCAAGGTATTTTGAATATCATTCTTGATATTGCAATCAAAATGTATTGATTTCATATGCGAGTTTGATTTTAAAAAGATCGTTTTTGCTCATTGATGGGAAAACAACTTCAAAGAACAACGTACAAAGAGTGAAAACAAAGTATGTGCATAGTAAATAAGAACACTGGAAGGACCGCTCAATGTCTCTGTGGTTATACCTTTTGTTCCGTGTGTATCCGGAACAATCTGGGACTGCAAAACTACTTTGACATAATCAGTAGGTATGACAGGAATTAGTTGCGCAGCGCCCCCTACACATCCTGCCAGGTAAATATTGAGGTAGGATGACTTCTTAGTGTCCTTGTCTTTGTCGAGGAACTTCAGTGTGTTACCGTAGACGCCGAACAGGACGGAGTTAACAACGCCGTACGACATGAGTGGCCAGGACAGCCCTCGGAAGAATCCAGCAGTCTAGTCGGCAAAAGAAAACAGATCCTGTCGTAGTTCCTAACAGGGTCTAATTTATTCATATACGAAAACGTAAAAGAAAACTGTTTGTCAATTTCAACGTAAGAGTATCAAACAGCAACAACTCATGAGCACATCAACAAGACTTGCAAAAACAATCAAAAGTGGTGCCATGATCAATACCAACAAAAATATCCGAAATCTTACATAGTTGTCACCAATGACATTTTACGTGAGAGGAGATTGATGATATAGGCAGATTTTATGACACTGAGTTTTTCACATTAGCTAAGGTTTGAATGGCAATACTATTTTCATCAGTGTTTTTCCTAAGAATGTACATTCAGTTACTGGTTATAACTATACGGTTGCTTAGTTTCCTATCAGAAGTCTGAACACACATAATAATATCAACATTGAGTCAATGGTTCCAGCCAATGCTGTATCAGTGCTCACCAAGCCCTGCTTGAAAATGTTCGAAGCCATCGCCACAGTTCCCTTGAGCTGACTCCCATGTTGCGTCTGTAGTTTTACCTGATGTGAGAGAAATGAAGCTTCTTCTGAGATTACGTAAATGAGCCAGTACATGTACTACAATCAGATCATTATTTTGTGACATATATCACAGGTACTAAGTGATGGCTATTTCTAAACTACATTACAAGTAACAAATTAAAATAAACATACATAACAAGTACTAAATCATTTTGATCTACATACCATTACTAAGTTATTTATGTACTACATAACAAGTACTATGAGGTGAATATTCTGACCTACATAACAAGTACTATGAGGTGAATATTCTGACCTACATAACAAGTACTACGAGGGGGACATTTCTGACCTACATAACAAGTACTATGAGGGGGACATTTCTGACCTACATAACAAGTACTATGAGGTGGATATTTCTGACCTACGAGGTGAATATTTCTGACCTACATAACAAGTGCTATAAGGTGAATATTTCTGACCTACATAACAAATACTATGAGGTGGATATTCTGACCTACATAACAAGTACTATGAGGTGAATATTCTGACCTACATAACAAGTACTATGAGGTGAATATTCTGACCTACATAACAAGTACTATGAGGGGGACATTTCTGACCTACATAACAAGTACTATGAGGGGGACATTTCTGACCTACATAACAAGTACTATGAGGGGGACATTTCTGACCTACATAACAAGTACTATGAGGGGGACATTTCTGACCTACATAACAAGTACTATGAGGGGGACATTTCTGACCTACATAACAAGTACTATGAGGGGGACATTTCTGACCTACATAACAAGTACTATGAGGGGGACATTTCTGACCTACATAACAAGTACTATGAGGTGAATATTTCTGACCTACGAGGTGAATATTTCTGACCTACATAACAAGTGCTATAAGGTGAATATTTCTGACCTACATAACAAATACTATGAGGTGGATATTCTGACCTACATAACAAGTACTATGAGGTGAATATTCTGACCTACATAACAAGTACTATGAGGTGAATATTCTGACCTACATAACAAGTACTATGAGGGGGACATTTCTGACCTACATAACAAGTACTATGAGGGGGACATTTCTGACCTACATAACAAGTACTATGAGGTGAATATTTCTGACCTACGAGGTGAATATTTCTGACCTACATAACAAGTGCTATAAGGTGAATATTTCTGACCTACATAACAAATACTATGAGGTGGATATTTCGGACCTACATTACAAGAGATATGAGGTGGATATTTCTGACCTACATAACAAGTACTAAGAGGGGGATATTTCAGGCCTACATAGCCAGTACTATGAGGTGGATATTTCTGACCTACATAACAAATACTATGAGGTGGATATTTCTGACCTGCATAACAAGTGATATGAGGTGAATATTCTGACCTACATAACAAGTACTATGAGGTGATTATTTCTGACCTACATAACAAGTACTACGAAGTACAGTAATGTACATATACCAAGAATGTACATCAACACTTAGATAACGTATCACAGTGTCTATTTTTCCTGAAATGAGTATATTAAACTATCTCTTCGTTAGAATACACCAAAATCAAGGGACTGACTTAAAATAAAATGTTGAAACAAGAAATATAACACAGAGAGGGACTGTCACTACACGCGCCTCACTCCGAAGTACGCAATCACAATAACCTCTTTTAATATATTCTCAAATTTCTGAGGAAGCCGAAAAGATATTGGTCACCACGATAACGCTTACATACATTCGTTTTAGTTAAGTTTCTTCACACAATATTCAGTTAACCTCAAATAGCTATTTCAATAGCAAACGAAAAATCAACCGTCCTTTTAAGCAATTTATCTTTGGGTTTTTTTAGGGGTTTTTTTTATATACAGTATCATAATGTACTAGAAATACAATATCATGTTATACTTTAAGTAATATATCATAATGCACTAGAAATACAATGTCATGTTATAACTCAAGTTATATATCATAATGTACTAGAAATACAATACCATGTTATAAGTCAAGTTACATGTATATACAGGATCATGATGTACTAGAAATACAATATCATGTTATAATTTATGTAACATATCATTTTGTACTAGAAATACAATTTCATGTTATCATTTAAGTTACATGTATACATCGTAATGTACTATAAATACAATATCAAGTCACAATATAAGTAATATATCATAATGTACCAGAAATACAACATCATGTTATAATTTAAGTAATATATCATAATGCACTAGAAATACAACATCATGTTATAATTTAAGTTACATGTATACATCACAATGTACCAGAAATACAACATCATGTTACAATATATAAGTAAAACATCATAATGTACTAGAAATACAATATCATGTTATAACTCAAGTTACATGTATATACAGTTTCATGATGTACTAGAAATACAATATCATGTTATAATATAAATAATATATCATTTTGTACTAGAAATACAATACCATGTTATAAGTCAAGTTACATGTATATACAGTATCATGATGTACTAGAAATACAATATCATGTTATAATATAAATAATATATCATTTTGTACTAGAAATACAATACCATGTTATAAGTCAAGTTACATGTATATACAGTATCATGATGTACTAGAAATACAATATCATGTTATAATTTAAGTGATATATCATTTTGTACTAGAAATACAATATCATGTTATAATTTAAGTAATATATCATAATGTACTAGAAATACAATATCATTTTTTGTTTGTTTTCATTACGTAGTAAACTCGTTATATTGTATAAAAACAGCGTTTTCATTTTGTAGTAAACAAGCAATATTGTATAATAACGTGTTTTTTTTTTAATCTTATTTTTATTAGGAACCATTAATCGCCATAATTTAAGCATATTATATATAGTGTATTGATTCACATTTAAAACGAAAAGGAAGTTAATAAAAGTAAATAATCAAAATAAAAGATTCAATCCGGAAACTAAAAGGTCCCGTGTTTACGTTAAGCAATTTATCTTATTATCTTTAGGGAAAGACAAAATCCGCAAACATATTTCACCTCACACTAAATATTAGGACCATGCAGACACTACAAAACCTAGAGTGCATGTAGTTTTCTAAAAGCTTTACAGCAGATGAACTCGTGCTCAAGTACAGTTTAAATACTGCGATCACAATGTGCACAGTAGGTACAGGTATACATTTCTATTAGGTTTCAGCTAGACAATCGATATAGTTTCCATGTCATACACTACAAACATGGTAGTATACCTCACAATGGCCGTTAACTGAATGGTCTATCGTACCTTTGCCGCAATGTCAAATGATGTATTTATTACCTTTGCCGTTATGTCATATGTTGTATTTATTTAGCTTACCTTTGTCGTATCAAAGGGATGTCCGACCAACAGACCTGCAGAACCTGCGAATTACAATTAAAGTGTTTATAATAACATAAATGATTCAATTTGCTGATGTGATATTTCCATGTATATTTCCTAATTCCGAAGCATTAACGAACATTCATTATATTCTTTATGGCCGCTCTTTACACATGATATAAAGGATTTTGCATTTTTTTTGTAATAAAGTTAACACTTATATGATGAATGATTATAATATATATTGATATACTGATATTGAACGATGCTTTACACCTCCGATAGCTCCCGCTATATAGTCGTTTATCAGGTGACTAGGCATGTCTCATATCCCAATAGTGTGCTGATTCTCAATATGTCTCCACTGCAAGTTTAAAACTGGGTCTGGACGGCTTTACTGGAAGTACTGGACAGACCACTGTATCTGCCTACCGGAAGTGCATGATATTGGTTTCCTCCATCTGTAGTGGCCGTATGACTTTCCTGTACAAGTATTGACGTTTGTTAATGATTTAATGATTCCAGTCATATATCAGGTGTGATTAATTATATGTTGCCTTTTAATTTCACCTAACAATGAGTCGATGACAATCAAAGAAGGATCATATACTGTGTTGTTACTACAAGGAACATGGGTGTTGTTAGAGGAATGGATTAGTAAAACCGCTCTGAGACAATTAAGAAATATTGCTCGGTATTGCCTATAAAAACAATTAGAAACATATCAAAATGTATAACGCTACATTTCACAACCTAACAGCAATTATTTGTATGCTGCTTTATAGAAACTGAATCATTGTTATGGCCATTTAGGAACATTAAGATATCTTAACAACCAGTTATATATATGTAGATAGTTTATGACTAATACTTGTACAGACAGCTTCACATTTCAGACCGACCGACCTAAAAACAGGACGTATTATACATGATAACTTCAGCAAGGGCAAAACACATCGTAAGACAACTACACGAGGACATTTATAAAGCTATTACAATCATTGCCATCAGCTTCAATGTCTCGTTCATTTGTCGCCTGTCCATTTATTATTTAAATATTATATTTTTATAATGGATGTAAATACACACATGTGATGCAAATGATTACATTTTATGAAAGTGTTTATTTTTCATTTTCGTCTTAGTAATCGCTAAAGAAATATTCTACAATATCAATTAACAACACTGTTACAGCTGGGACAGCTGGCATTTACATTATAACTGATGTCGGGTGAAATGATACCATTTATATATCGCCTTTGACGTAAAGGATACTTAAACCCGAGAGTATACAACCTGTCGCTAACAGCCTGATTGACACCGTGGCTTCGTAGATACAGGGCTTTGCTGCAAGTAAGTCTGAGACATAATTACTAGGCGTTCATGCTTTATTTTACCCATACCCACCAATGGGGAGAAATATGAGATGTACCGAAAGTCAGTCCGTCAAGTGATTAATCTATCTATTACTTCGTGATAAAGTTGTCTTAGGGAAGACAATAGGATTATAGACGGAACAGTATAATAGAAATTATCCAAAAAAAGCATTTTCCTTGAGGTCCAAGGACCATAGCTTGCATTGACATAAGGAGTGGGCGGCCTTTCTTCAATGTTCGTGCCGGCATAAACGCAAATCGGTTACATGCATACTCCACGACGCCCGCTAGGGCTTCTTGGTAAATTTGGTTGGAACCGATTTGCGTTCACATCGGCCTGACCACTGACAGATACTGTTCAATCCTTATAATTACATTTTAAATTGTATGGTTATTATTGATCTTAATTAAGATATTCCTTTATATTTTCGATATTAAAGTGTCTGCATCGTCAGTGCATACAAGACTCCTAGACGATTTTCTCTGATTGAGGTCGGAGGTCAATATGTAGATTGCAGTGGCCTATATTTGAGTCATGTCACATCACCCTCATAGATTGCCCATATATCGGTCTGATCAATGTTTATGCCGAAGAACGTAAATCGATGTATCCGTAGATTTTCTATACATTCAAAACCCGAAAAGAAGAAAATATATAATTGATAATAGATTGATTATAAAATTTACCTAAGTAATTTAATGCAATGTTCGTCGCCCTTTAATAAATAACCCCTTAGGTATAGTGAAGTAATGTGCACTCTGATTTACTATATATGTTCAGTGTAGATATGACCATCCACATACATGTATCTAACACGATTTTCTACGTTTTTGTGACCCATTTGTGCGAAAGCCTCGCTGACGATGAACTCTCGAGACAAGTCAACTTGACAAGAGAAGACTGACAGACCTTTCGTATGACCCCGCATCTCTTTGCAATTGGACATTTGTTTGTATACTGTGAGTGTTCATACACGGCGTCGTTGACTATAGTACAGTAGTAGTGTGTACACATAGTACATTGATGTACTTGTTTGTATGTGTTGATATGAGGCATTGGTTTCTATGCATTACTCGTACTTGCTTTAACATAACTACATACCTTTTGTCACCGTAGTTCCGCTGTCATCAGTATCATACCGTTAGCTGTTGTCCACACGGCTGACATGGCCTAGGTTAACATGGAACATAAACGAGGTCAAGCTTGTGTTTACTTAGCCGGGTATGATAGGTTAGCTCACTTCTTACCAAGGCCAGTAGGTAATCGCCTTCACTAGTATGGATACGACTGTACGTAGAGTCTTTGTTCAGTGATTGCTATATTTAGATTACCATTGGTTGGGTTGACTCGCTGTTATGGTGTACTTTGTGTAACTTCTGGTTATGATTCCCATAACGTATTACGGACTTACACTCCGTAGTATTGTTAGATGTAGTTGTGGTAAATTCCAGTAAAGGGGTGTGTGGATCCCAGTGCTTGCAATCGGGTAGACTAGCCCTAGTTCGATATGTTATGCTTGCGTTCAAGTTGTACTATAGTCGTACACAATTTAAGTGGTGTCCGTGTGTTATGCAGACGTTAAATTGGTGTTATACATGCGTTATATTGGTGTTATATTGTTGTTATACAGGCGTTATATTGGTGTTATACATGCGTTATATTGGTGTTATACATGCGTTATATTGGTGTTATATTGGTGTTATATTGGTGTTATACAGTCTGCTCATTGGTGTTATATTGTTGTTATACAGGCGTTATATTGGTGTTATACATGCGTTATATTGGTGTTATATTGGTGTTATATTGGTGTTATACAGGCGTTATATTGGTTTTATACATGCGTGATATTGGTGTTATATTGGTGTTATACAGGCGTTATATTGGTGTTATACAACCGTTATATTGATGTTATACAGGCGTTATATTCGTGTTATACATGCGTTATATTGGTGTTATACATGGCGTTATAGAAGTGTTATTACGGTGTGATAGCGATAATGATGCACTGTGGTGTTATTGATTATAACGGCGTTAGAAAGGTTTTATATAAATGATATATCACCGTTATAGTGACATTAGATTGGTGTTAACTGATGTCATACATTGTGTTAAAGTGCACTTAAAGTGGAGATCACTGCGCATATTTTGGTTGCATAAGAGACAAGGATTGGTTTGCGATAGCACGGACTGCGTGTCGTTTTTACTAAAGACGATGAAAGCTTATCCGAGTATTGCAGATGCAAATGTATCTGTGTTAGTTACATTTAGATAAACCCATGCACCATTTTTCAGTAATTCGTATCCTACAAACATACGCTTGTAATAATCCAGTGTGATATATCGGATTTTATCATTGGTATTACCTCTTTGACCCACATATATATCTTCATAGTTTGCTATCAATTGGCTTATACTGTCGGCAAGCACACTCTCCTCAGTTCTAAAGACTGTTAAGCTACAAGTTGTTGGAAGACACAAGTGCAGTTAACAGATTGGCATCATGTCTAGTTTGTTCATTTAGAAGACAGTGAAAGAAACAAAAAGGTCTTTGATTTCAATGACACCAAATTTTTACATAGTCTTTGGTCACTTGGAATTATCTCAAATTTGCGTTCACATAATCGAAATTTAAATTTTGTGTACAAATGCTTTACATTACCAATGGCAATATTTAGATATTTTTGGTACATACTCTGTCTTAAGTTCTTTGGACAAAAACAGTTTGTTACTGAAGAACCTTTTTTCATATTTCTGTGTAATGTTCTGCTTTAATTGAACACTAAGTTGTCAGAGTCATGTATAATGGTTTGGAGGTTATTATCACACATCATATGTCGCTGTACCATTGTAAAACTTGTCAGAGTCGTGTATAATGGTTTGGAGGTTATTCTCACACATCACATGTCGCTGTACCATTGTAAAACTTGTCCGAGTCGTGTATAATGGTTTGGAGGTTATTCTCACACATCACATGTCGCTGTACCATTGTAAAACTTGTCCGAGTCGTGTATAATGGTTTGGAGGTTATTCTCACACATCACATGTCGCTGTACCATTGTAAAACTTGTCCGAGTCGTGTATAATGGTTTGGAGGTTATTCTCACACATCACATGTCGCTGTACCATTGTAAAACTTGTCAGAGTCGTGTATAATGGTTTGGAGGTTATTCTCACACATCACATGTCGCTGTACCATTGTAAAACTTGTCAGAGTCGTGTATAATGGTTTGGAGGTTATTCTCACACATCACATGTCGCTGTACCATTGTAAAACTTGTCAGAGTCGTGTATAATGGTTTGGAGGTTATTCTCACACATCACATGTCGCTGTACCATTGTCCTAGCCACTATAACGCAGGGAATGGACACCACGAGCAGGACAATGGGTGAACGGATGACGCAGTGTAGAACGCCGAGTACTCGTGAAAGATATCTAGAAGTACGGTATTCCCGATGAGACGAGACATAAAGGTATACATCTAAAGTCGTCAAGCACGTTCGGGTTAGCTTTTGGCATTTACGCTGTAAGGTATTCATGCCGTCAATAAATCTTCTGCGTCAAAATCAGTCGCAGACGCTCTACAGTTGATTTGGTCGTCTGCTCTACAGTTGATTTAGTCGTCTGCTCTACAGTTGATTTGGTCGTCTGCTCTACAGGTGATTTGGTCGTATGCTCTACAGTTGATTTGGTCGTCTGTTCTACAGTTGATTTGGTCGTCTGCTCTACAGTTGATTTAGTCGTCTGCTCTACAGTTGATTTGGTCGTCTGCTCTACAGTTAATTTGGTCGTCTGCTCTACAGTTTATTTGGTCGTCTGCTCTACAATTGATTTGGTCGTCTGCGTGCCCCACCTCGATGATTTTCAATTTCTCGCTTTGAAGTGTGTTTAGTGAAAATCAATGTAATAAAGGTAAGTTGGATGAAACAACCGTGCTCAAATTGATCAGGAAGCTCTATTTCTAGAGTAACATAGTTCGTCAAGGTGAAGGCACATAACAGCTATGTTCGCAATAATGTTTGGAAAATATCTCCCCACAATGCTACGTACAACGGCTTGTTCAGACAATGAAAAATGTTTGCCGATGTCTTGGAGCCGAAAGGAAGTTTTCTGTAGTAAAACTAACTTTCACCATCTACAAAGTTCCCTATAAAATATGTAACCATCTTGCTATGTAGACTAATTGCTTCACGATACGTGGTCTTCCAATTTATTGTATAACCATCGTACTTAACGGAACAGGAGTGCCAACCGAGGTGAACCTTCACTTAATCTTTGGGATGGAAATTATCTGGCAAACCCACTTGTGTACTAAAGACATGAATGACTCCTTTCCAACCACAGTGTCATATTTTTAATACAACAACAAGTGAAGTTATATATGACGGTATTGTCATCTCAATATAATTCCTGTTATTAATTTCCTTCCGAGTTTGTCAGTGTATTTGTCATAAATATCCCTTTTGCGATTAGCCGATTGGAACTCTTATTGGCGATGAGTTAATCTAAGATAATGCCTTTGTCTTGTTCTACGCCAACGCTTTCTGCCGATATCCATTGCCGATCCGTCCTGGGATGTATTTCTCATTTAAACATTGATTTAAGACTTTACCTCTTTTGTGGACGTTATGCTATTTTATTTATGTGTTTCTAATTATTGAAAACAAGATCTCAAGAGAAAGAAACATTCTGTAGTATTCACCGCATCCGCCTGGTTACTCCATCTTCATTTGACGCTCGATTTGATAGCGAGGTAGTGTCCTCATCGTTTGTATTAACTCTTTCCATTGTTTAGTAGACTAGGGAAGTTCCTATTGACAGATTTTAGTAGATACGTCACCCGTATGTCGTCGATATCCGTTGCAGTGAAATGTTGAACACCTGATACCAGGTGAAACACCTCGAGCCTGCACCTATCTGTTCATCTATGATTATATCTGTGATATCATTTATATGGGTTAAGTATACATGTCGGTCACTTAAATTGTGTTCAGGACTGTTACATAATCAAGTGTCCTCTTATAGTTACTGGTCCTGCTGGTATAACAAACGTTCTTCATCATGAGAATGGGTAAAAGGCCAGATACAAATGAAATGTATATATACAGTATATTTGTTTGAATTAACCTCTTGACTTGAAGAAGCATTTGCATGCAAAAAACACACATGAAATATTTTAGAAGAATGCTACATTTTAAATATGTTAAGAATGTTATCAAAGCGAGAAGTCTGATGAGCAGTTGGATTCCATTGTGTGTATTTATCAATTATTGACATGTATTGGGCTGAGTATGTGATTACATAGTCCTGATAGAGATATTGACCGAGAAGTGGAGCGTGTGAAAATTGTCAGGAGAATAGGTATTACATTTGTCAGATCACTGTCGCATTACAACTAATGTGACGTCATACGATACCATTATATCTGTTGTTTCTAAAAATAGTAATTTTAAGTTAATATCTGACTTTTCTAAACTATGGAGTTATGTTTGCGGGGTGTCAAATGTCACGTTTACCTGGACCGATATTAAAAATTCGAGTTCTTTTCCGGCCACATTTTACTGTAAAAATGATGTTTTTTCTTTTGCTAGAGTAAAATACAGATTAGCTATCCACGATATCGATAATACCTATTAGATTTTGTAGGTCACGCTATTATATGCAACTGTCCATATCTATACAGTGACAACGTAATATTGCAAATCGTTCCTTTATCATGAATGTGAAACCACCAACCCGTATCGACATATAGTGTGATGTGCTGATACAGCTAAGACACTGATCACCTAATCAGATATCCGCGGCTTGCATTATTAACCTCAAAGAAACAAAATATCTGTACATACCTGTATCTTTTCGTGGTGTAGGATTGTTTGGTCTTGGAAAGTGGACATTAATGAGGATAACGAGATAAGAAAGGGACCTGTGAGCCATCTGTGTAAAGAAGAAGCGGAATATTGTATAGATCTTCACACCTTGGTGACGTGAAGAGTTTGAAGGAGACCGGAAGGGCTAAGAATGCGACAGGGAGACGGGTGATGTCCAAGAGATCCGTGGACCACTATGTGGCGGGGGCCATGGGAGGTAGGTGGGACCGGACCACTATGTGACGGGGGCAATGGGAGGTAGGTGGGACCGGATCACTATGTGGCGGGGGCAATGGGAGGTAGGTGGGACCGGACAACTATGTGGCGGGGGCAATGGGAGGTAGGTTGGACCGGACCACAATGTGGCGGGGGCAATGGGAGGTAGGTGGGACCGGACCTTGTGTAGGGTATCAGTTTGCGAGTTTGTACCATAAGTCGGTTACTTTTGTAAGTAGATGTGAACAAGTGTGTCAGGGTTTTGCCAGATGCTAACTAATTTTAATGTTAATGCTACTGTACTTGACACTCAAGATGCACCAATTGATCAATTTGATAAGAAAATACTGAAATATGACTAATATGGATAAAATTGCATCGGGGATATAATCACTCACAGACGGGGCGTACGCCTCTCCACAGCTATTAAACGTGAAATTAGGCTACGCAAGATATTGGTGCATAAATGAACTTTAGATAACATGTCATTTCGTAGCCATCATTTGTGCCGCAAAAGAGATTGATATGTTGTAAGTCAGGTGATCTATTTTTATGAAGGTATCGGCATAATTGACTTATCATTGACTATGTTAACCTAGCTATGTGTCATTTTAATAACTAATGAACAAGTTCATTATATTCAAATTACTTATAAAATGAACGAGTTTCGATTTTGTTAACGAAGTCGGTGATGTTTCTTCGGGTACTCCGGGTTTCCCCCACTACCAAAACATTGCACATTAAAACATTTAAACATTAAATGATCATTGGTGTTTATAAGGCGTAAAACTAAACTAAACCAAAATAATCTCGTACATCGCTTTTGACCTATATAAGTTATTTTTCCAAAGAAGAAATATTATGGCAGATGTCACAAATGTTTCAGGATACCTTTCTGGAGATTCGGGTTTTTCGCCTCCATCTTACTGTTAGGATGTCTTTATTTTGTTATGATGTATCGTAATATATAAAAGTAGTACTTTTGTATTGACTTCGATGTCGGATTACGGCCTTATGAAGTGACAAGGTGGTGATATTTGCTTCACTTTTACTGATCCTCCAGAATATAAAATCACAGACCCTGCTGATCCCCTTATGTTCCATATGTCGATATATATGCGCTTGGTGACGACTTCAATTATACAAGCGTTAATTACCTTTCTTAGTAACATCCCGTCCTCCCCTGTAAGTACGTCACTGTTGATACATCACACCGAGATCATAGTATAGCTATCTAGAATTTCTAATCAGATATTGTTAACAAATAAATTGAACCAACAAGCTATATTAAAGAAATTCTAAACTGGCAAAATCGACCTAATTTCTAGTTATAAAATGAATGCGGCACTTTTTAGACTCCTCAGTTTCTGCTGTCTTTCCTGATCGATTGTTACATTTTCCCTATTGAATCACACAGATGCCGCTATTAAGCTTTAATTATATCTTAATCTTATCTTTGTCGTATTAAGACTAGGACCTCAGAAGAAGAAAAAACGCCGGTTGCGCTTTATCATACATTCATGCCGTCATCGTTGTTTTTCTTTTAGATGGGTGAGAGTATATATGTTATATACATAAAATTGTGCGGTGATATTGTTACAATAGACAGAAGTCTGAAAGGTCCTACTGTTTTGTAGTGCTTTATGAAATGTACATGTACCACCGTGTTGCTTTCATTGGCAGGAACCGCCGGTTACTTTGTGGGATACCCCCTGGACACCATAAAGGTTTGGTATAAATGTTTATGATCTTTCCTAGTTAAAGGTCGAAATCATATCTGTGATAATGATCGAGAACAATTGAAACATTGTTTTTGTATCAGTCATGTAGATGTTGGATAGATTTTTGTTTTTGTTTGTGATATATTTAACTATTGATATCATAATAAGTGGTCATTTTGCGACATCATTCACCTTTATTCCTTTATCTGACTATTTCATTGAACTTTCTCTTGACATAGGTTACTAATGATTAAGACGGTCAGCAAACTTTTATATTTAAAAGTATGTTTAACCTCAAATAACAAAACAAATAAAAACCAATGATCTTTCAAGGCATGTGTATCGACAAAAAAATCATGAGCTATCTGATTTGCAAGGAGTGATGATCGCGAATGACCTCGCGACTATTTATCGAGACAATCGTAATAAACGATCACATATCAGTCGTTGTTTCCTTCCAGTTTCACCAAATTGAATCCTTCCAAATATGCTACTAAAAGAAAAATCGCAAAAATGAAGTGTTTAAAATAACATCTTAGAAAAGAAAACTAGCATTGCTACTTTGTATATCGCCCGCATAAAAACGTGAAATTATATATATTGTAATCAAGTTTGATTACTGTCGATATAGGTACAGCTACAAACACAGGGCGTGGGAAAGCGTGGGTTGTTGGCGGCCCTCTCTAATACTTGGAGCCAAGGGGTGGTAAGTAGGAAGGTTTTATTTCAATTACATAAAGACAGGGTTGAAATGTCGTGTTTTAGCGACTGATAATGGGTTCATCTACAAAACACAATATTTGCCATAAAAATATGTTGCATGTATATGCATCTACATTTTCGTTTATATAAGTTTTTTGTTTGTTTTTCCAACAAAATCATCTTCACATGAAGGTTATGGTAATAATGTTTTAACTTAGTTTATTCTGAAGGCAGGTATCTGCCTTTGTGTTTAGATCATAGTCCACATTTGTTAATCATTATATACATAACAGTATCTTTGATTTGACGTCACTCCAATGTTGCGGTGAATCTCATTTCATCACTTCCCCAAAGCTTATCAATGCGGATTTCAAAAGGTTGTTAGATTTGGTGCTTGAATCACGTTCTCAGGTAGGGAATTCCAGTTGCTAACAATTCGTTGAGTAAATGAGTATTTCCTCACTTCACGTCTACTCCTTGATTTACATAGGCTCGGTGAATGTCCTCGAGTCCTTTTTAGCTTGTTTTATTGACAAACGTCCATGTGATGCTGTTGTATCATAGCGAACCCTCAAGATCTTGATCACCTCTATCATGTCTCCCTTATCACATCTGTGGACCAATTATGTAAGATGACACAATACTTCCTCGTAAGAAACATCCTCCATTCTTGGCAGTAATTTAGTAGCTCTCCGTTGGACACTTTTTAGGAGGTCAATATCCCGTTGTTTGTATGGTTTCCATACACACACTCCATACTCTCGATGGGATCGAACTAAAGCTTGATACAGTAGGCAGAATGATGTATTATCCAAGTTTGTATATGTTCTTCTGACAGCTCAAAGTATTCGGTTTGCTTTGTTTACGGCGGCTTGTTTTTGTTTTTGATTCTAAAACTTAATCTATTTTCGACAATTATCCCAAGGTCTTTCCTCTTCTATCGTTTTTCCTCATTTAGTGTTACTGTTGGTCGCAGACCATCAATATCTTTGGATAACTGCAGATTATATTCGCTTTGCTTCGCAGAAAGAAATCGTGTTCACGTAAGGAGGAATTTGTTGTCCTGTGTAGATTAGCTGCACCTTTTTGCTCTTTGTTGCTAGTCTGAAGGACATTTCTGTTCTGTGTTGCAAGGCTGATATTGTTGTTCTGCTTTGCCAGATTGGAGGATTTTACCGGGGACTGTCATGGCCACTCTTATCCACTGGTTTTACCACGTCAGTATTTTATGGTGTTTATGGCAATACGCTGACATTTCTGGAACCGGACAAGGCAAAACAGAAGTCAGCTCATGGAAAAATAGTTCTAGCCGGAAGTGTGGCCGGGACGGTCCAGGCACTTCCGGTCATTCCAATTGATTATATTAAAGTGGTTCTACAGGCACAAATTCCCACGCTTGGAGACAAGTCTACAGCTAAGATCAAAGGTAAGTATCGGCTGAGAAATGCCATCTGAAATACAAAAGACAACATCCGATTGCAATCGAGAGAAACACACACATACACTTGCCTGGGTATATGAAATCAAAAGAAGGAGAATGCTTAGAGGCAATTCTGTAACAAAAGTCAAAACAGGTTTTTATATCATTATAGATAAATGTATGATTGAGGTTAAAGTTAGATATTACATTGTGTATTAGAGATATTTCTGTAACTACTGTCAAATGTAAGACATATATTTGAGATAGATCTGTTACAAGAGTTAAAGGTAGAACATCAATCAGAGAAAATTATGTAACTAAAATCACATAGTTCCGTAACGAATGTCAAAGGTAGGACATATATAAATAAAATCTATTTAACTAAGGTCAAGGCGATATCGCCTACATTAGCACACTGTTGTTACCTATACAGACGCTCTTTTGATTAATGGAGATTGACTTAATTGATAGCCCATTAGTCAAAGAGGGGTGACTTTATTATGTTTTGGTACGTGATAATTTGCGTGATAGTACGTTGATATTCATGAAAATACTTGATAATTGGTCAATAATTTGATGTTCTAACGGTCATTATCAATGACATAAAATGAAGACAAGTTTCCAGGCGTCCTTTCTGATACAGGTGCGAGTACAGCCGACATCCTCTACTTCCGTGGCCCAACAGACTGCGCACGCACCATTTTAAGGACCAAGGGAATAACAGGACTGTTTAAAGGAACCACAGCAACGCTCCCTAGAGAAGTTATTTTCTTTGGGTTTTACGGCTTAATATATGAATGCCTCAGTGACTTCATCAAACAGAAGAAATTTACAGATTCACGTGGATTTTTTGCGGATTTTATCGGTGGTGGATTTGCCGGAAGTATATCTTGGATTTTTGTGATACCGTTTGACGTCATAAAAAGTCGTTACCAGGCTGACTTTCAGGGCAGGTACAAGAGTCCCGTTGACTGTGCTATACAAAGCTACCGAACAGAAGGTTTAGGCGTCTTCTATAGAGGTTGTATTGTCACGTGCGTACGAGCATTTCCGGTATGCGCAGTTTCCTTTATGGTGTACGCCCAGGTGACTCAGTGGCTGAGAAGCATCGAATGATTATTGATAAATAAAGTGATGTAACTTATCACCCCAGATATACAATCTTTCAGTTGGTTTATTGGACAAACTAAAGTTCATTTATTTAATTTTTAATATACCTTCGTTATTGTTCTGTTGTCATAAACTCATTAAATAGCGCGCATTTGCTAGTAGTGTTTTTATGTTTTAAACTTTTAATTTTTTAACAATGATGTAGATTATATTGCGTTGGCGTCACTTATCTTAAAATTGGAAATGACTTTAAAACGATAAGATAAAATCAGACGACCCTTGCTATTGCATTGCTGCATGTTTTCCTCACTTAATTTTTATCGCCATATCGATGTTGCACTGTTAGAAAAGATAGAGTAATTGATAACCAAAATTATTCATTTTGAAGCTGCATTCACTGTATCTTACAATGGTGTGTTGAGGAAGCTTATTTTTCCGAAGTCTTACACGAATTATTCAAGTCACCGCTTGAGTCTTTGATGAGCTCATTATGGTCAAGATAATTCCGAGATTTATGTTTGAAATATCCCACAAGGACAACTTTAGAGTCGCCAATAGTTCATTTTCTATTTCAGTTAAAGGCTGGGGTGATATTGGGTCTCGGTGGGAATATTATCTATTGACAGAGTTATCCTTTGAACATATTCAGATTCATTTTGAACCAAAATCTAATGACTCATGTTCTGGTTTGTAAACGATTTATATTATACAAGACTTCCTTAAAAAGTATTAGTATTTTAGCGTAAGAAGAATAGACATTGGGAATAACAGTACTGCTTTCAGCAGACGCAGTAATGTCACCTGTTTGAAGACCTTGGAATTTGGGCAGAATAAGCTCCTATTATGAATCACACACCGTAAGAACGAACTATACAAGTCAAACGTGTTTTAAAACATCATACATGGCGACATCCTTTAGCAGTGTACTACTACAGGAACTTCAGTCTTAAACACAATCTGGCAAATATTCGCATTATATCAGCTCCAGAACATTGCTAGTGCAGTGGAAAGGGCTCGTAAAGATATGTGCACAGAAGAATCATGACAATGACATCAAGGACACTTTATTTAACTTTCATTTTCCCAGTATAGTAGTATGCTTCACCATTGTTACTCGTTAGCCTATCCCAATCAATGAGGTTTTCTAGATATATATCGATAACCTTCTTTGCTATTGTAACCGAAAGCTTCAAATTACGTTGCAGAAATTCTACGATCGCTGGGACCTAATTTTCAATCTGAGATGTCGACATGTTTATTTTTTATTTTTGTGGTGACCAACATACTTTTCTTAATTAGAGGAGACATGATGGATGTGTTGCAGGAAACTCGTTATCCTAGTTTTGTCTCCAATTTCTATGAGGTTCTATATCTGTTCTGAATTTTAGTCATTGTGTTGATACATTGGAGTTATATTCAAGAAGCTTTTGTGGATACCGTATTTCATTAAATGATGTTAAGTGTTATCTCTTAAAACATAAAGATATCACATAGACATGGAGTATCATCTTACTAAGAAAGTTAAGAAATATGACATCGTTTATGATATTTTCAATACAATATTTTTTTCATAACACGATTCAAGTTTGACATTAATTTTAGGGTTTTTAGAAAAGCTTACGATATGCCATATTAAATGTCTATTCACTCTTTGGGTATAGCCTGTTTAATTTTCAAAATTAATATTTCCCCTCGCCCCGATCCATATGGTGTCATTATTTTTGCTCATGTGACCGAAAAACATTGTACTGCACCTATAACGCCATGCTGATATTCAAGTTGATAGCTTATGAAACCAATGCTATTTGAGACATTTCAAAATAGAGAATAAATTGTTTTTTCCTGTTTTAATTTCCAGATGGTCATTAGTTTATGTAAGACACAGAAGTGCAGCCAACACTACTGTACATAACAATTTGGCAATCAATGTTTAGGGCCATATAGATATAGCACAGTTGAGAATATGCCAGCCGTTTAACATCAAGCTAGCTTTGGATACAGAACACTTGATTGGTGTTAATGAACTCCACTTGCCTCGAGTTGAGCATCATATGGTCTGAGTGGAAGTATAACAGTTTATGTGCTTAAATGGGAATACTGACCCCTACAACTTAACACCTACACATGGTATAGCACAAACAAACACATACCTTCTTACACAGGAAGGTAGAAAGGTGGATTTCTTGGCCAGAAGTGCTTCAGTCATACTGCTCTAACGTTGATGATTATGTTATACACTGTATGTATAATTGTATACAATAATAATATTGAGACAGGAATTCAATTTTTTTCAAAAGGAACAAATTTTAATGACCTTATTTACAGCATTTATATAATGGATAATTTAGGAAGTACATCGTCAGACCTCAAAGTTTCAATATCACAGTATGTTAATATCAACATAATATGACCAATCTGTCGATTAATATCAAATGTAAAATTCAAAATAAATATGAAAAAATAAAGGAGACTAGTATCTGTATATTACATGTATATATATATATAACAACACAATTTCTCTCTTAAAATGAACACGGGTAAATTATACAAACACTACAGCATGCATTTAAACAATTGATTAAGTTTCATAAAGCTGTGTAAACGTCTAATTACATAATGCACAACTGGCAAGGATATAAAGGAACAAATCAACAGTTATGATGTTTGTATCAAATATCAATATCAAAGGCGACATTGGAATATATATTACAATAATTAAGTCACACTCTCTACCAAATTACCAAAATAGCAATTGGATGTTTAATAAGTTACTGAAATGAGTTTAAAGTTTGTTTGTGAATCTAAGACAACTAGTCTTCAGAGTAATGACCTGAGCCTTGAAAATAACGCATAAGTTGTGCGTAGACCATGAACTCGACAGCATTCGAGGAGAAGCTACGGAGACAGATGGCCATACTGCCTCTGTAGAACACCCGAAGTCCCTCCTCTCTGTAACTCTGTAGTGCACAGTTAACATAGCCACTGAACTCTCCTCGGTAGTCAGCCTGGTATCGACTTTTCACTACATCCACCGGCATAACCGATAGCCATGCGGCCACACCTGCCAGCCCTCCTCCCAACAGGTCAGCTACAATGCCCCGGGAGTCACACCAGCCCCTCTCCTTCATCTGTCCACTTATTAACATGTAGGTGAGACCATACACACCAAAACACGGAATATCTCGACACAAAGTTAGCCCTGCGCCCTTGTACAGCCCATGTGGGCCCTCTGTCCGACAGATATAGCGGGCACATTCCATTGGACCACGGAACATGGCACTCTCAACTGATGCTGTAACAACTGTAACAGACAACATTACAAATAATCCTTATTGTATATAATTTTAAGCTCAATCTGTTGGGTTTTTTTATATACAATTCAGCATTTGACAAATAAGAGCACCAATTACCTCCCTTGGTATGTTAAATCTCAGTTCTAAACAAATAGTGTCTCATTAGTCTCATTATGCCTTTTTAAAATAGACACTTATTTAAATGACATAAAAATGACACAAAATTTTAGTGCAAGTGCTCATTTTGAATTTTAATGTAAATTATCTGAATCCACATACAAAATATCCTTTGCAAAGATTGGAAGGAAAATATATCACTGTTTATATTTTTTACTGTCATATGCTCTATCAAAAATACTTTTTAACTCATTTACCCCTGAAATTTCATAATGATCTATTCCAACCTTTTAATTGGAAGAGTTCAAATGTGTCTTCAGGGGTGAATGAGTTAAGTATCATCTCTGTAATCATAAACAAAAAGCTTATTTTTCCTCTATGACCTTGTCTACATCTAAATACTAGTCCTGTCTATTAATTGGGCTACAACAAAATACTGAACTGTCTTAGTGGTCAAGCTTCTCACCTTTGCTTGAATGGACGTCATGTCTGATCTGGGATTGTAGGATTACTTTGATATAGTCTATGGGCATGACCACCAGGCACTGTGCTGCTCCTCCCAAACAACTGGCTAACAATATCTTGCTGTATGCCTTCTTCCGTTTCTCTCTGTTGGGCTCTAGGGACTTCAGCATATTTCCATACACACCGAAAAATATGGAGTTTGTCACTCCGACTGTGATCAGAGGCCATGACATGCCCCTGTAAAACCCACTGATCTGTATAAAATAAAAGTACATTGTAGTATGTCTTTAACAAGTGTAACAATAATGACATGTGAAATCAGATAGATGAGTGTCATATCACATCTAAGAATGAAAACTGACTCTGTATTTAAACTATCAAGTTTTCACTTTTGTGAAGACCATGCTTTACCAAAGGATGAATCCCATCAATGATTAAGTTTTAAGGAAGGAGTACGGTAACAGGGATTTTCTAGACAAACCATATCCTCAGTATGGAATTTCTGTTGTAGGGTTAGGGTAACAGTTTTGGACAGTTCTCACCCCAGTAAGTAAGGGGAGGAGGGGGGGCGCTTCTGTGCAGTCCTCGCCTCAATCTGAACTATGGGTAGGATAGTAGGATAACAAAATTGTTTCTGGTTAGTCCCCAAATTTGCCCAGCCTTACCACTACATGTACTACTTCCATTTATTTCAACAAATTTTATCCACAAAAGGACTGGACAACAAGCAAGTTTCTTTCCTTATCTATACATATTATATTTAATGATGCAAGGGGAATAACTCCCATAGAAGATCACAAGATACAAGAAGCTTTATTTAGGTTCGTATATGACATAACATTGAACATTAGCTGTGTGGAGCTATTTTTACGACAAACATAAGTATAAAAACAGAGTAATAACAAGGTAAAGTCATGCTAGAAGAAAAGGTAGGATTTTGCAGCAAAACTATATACATTGAACTACTAAAATAATCAGAAAACAGTTTGATGATAGCACATGCATGTAAAAAGCAGGAACAGTACTAATTATAACATAAGCATAAACATAAAACATATCAGATTTTGCAAGCACATATTTCATATATATCACAGATGGTTAATACGGTACTTTATATTGGAAAATGATGGAATAAAATACTCCGATAAATTAAAGTAAAGTAAGAAGCAAAATAAAATTCTCAAATAATAAAGGGGGATCAGTAGATTGATTTTAAAACCATTACACAGCAATAACTCCATCAAACTATCAGGGTTTCTGACTGCTCATCAACAATGAAAGGCTGTATCTTCATGAATTACTGCTGCATTCAAAGATCCTTTTCATCTCACGTGGTATTCATGCATTATAAATTTGTGTAAAATGTACTTTAAGACCTACCCATTGTTGTTTATAGATGTGTGTAAAAGCGTCAGTGAAGCCTTTGTACCGGTTCCCATGCAGCTGTGTTTGAAGCTGTGTCTGAAATAGAAGGTAAATAAATGTTGAATTGTATGTCCATCGTGGTTTACAAGCTTTCAAAATCAGGTTCTGGTGCAACTAGAACTGTAAGCCAAAGGCTAACTAATACCCCCGCTGCTATATAAACCAGAACTGTAAGTTAAAGGCTAACTAATACCCCCGCTGCTATATAAACCAGACCTGTAAGTTAAAGGCTAACTAATACCCCCGCTGCTATATAAACCAGAACTGTAAGCTAAAGACTTACTAAGGCAAAGCATTGCAAAGCAGTACATATAGTCTCCCACCAGTAACAAGTATTTCGCACATTTAAGGGGTATACCTCCATCACAAAGGGTCGAAATCCCTAATGAAAAACGCCAATGCACAACTACATACGATACCGATCATTCATGCAAAGTTTCACTGAAATCCACCAGTTAGTTAAGGAGAAGTTTCGCGTACAAGTATTTTGCGCAAAGGGGCATAACTTAATCAAAAAGGGTTGAAATCCCAAATTAAAATGCCGGTGCACAACTACATAAGATACTGATTATTCATGCAAAGTTTCAATGAAATCCACCTGTTAATGAAGGAGGAGTTTTCAGGACAAGTTACTACAGACGATAGACAGACAGACAAACATGGTGATTCCAGTATACCCCCCCCCCCCTAATTTCGTTGGGGGGGTATAAAAACTGTTAAGAAGCTACAAGACATTATTTTCCTTATATCAATTTTAATAATCTTATTTAAGCATTCAACTCACTCACACTAAATATCTATATATTTAAGTGGATTTTGTTTCTTCTTTTTAGCTGCTGGGACATATGAAAAAGGAATTTACAACATAAGTCCAAGTTAAAAGTGTGGAATGCATATACATGCAACATACATTTTGCTACACCTTCTACTCATAATTTGCTTATTTATGAAATGATAAAATGAACTACAAAGTCAGTATATATACATTTATAATGTACATATACAGCTTTTATCTCAGTTTTTTTAATCATATAATATGGCTTATGATAGTAATGTTTTCAGAACTTTTTCTGATGGAATACCACATGTCAGTCTCTGTCAACATTATCACTGCCTTATCATGATCACCTCTTATTCCTGTCTTCATCAGTCAATAATCTATTTTTTTTAAATGTAGCGACTTGAATTACCCAAAAGTCTAGATAAATTGTAATTGGACAGCTAGGACAGAACTTCCTTTTATGATACATCTACATGATCAAAAATTTAAACAGCCCACACCTCATCCCCAAAAACGCACAAAGTATATTCTGAATTATGGATTTTCCATTCTCTCACGTTAATTAATTAAACTGTGGATTCACTCAAAATCTGTCAAATCTATAAAAAAAAAATGTTCTTCGTTCTTTGTTGGTTTTTTTCTTCAAAATTACACTTACCTTTGTTGTGTCAAATGGGTACCCAACAGCATACCCAATGGATCCTATATAAAACATAAATTTGCATATTATCAAGTCTGATTGATCCAGTTCAGTTCCCCAACATAAATACTACACACTCATATATGTGACCCCATATCTGCCGATATACGTGTACAGGTCTTTGTAACCAGTAACAATTCAATCTCTGATTGACTCGAGTTACTCAACTGTTTGCACACATACATGTATTGATTTTTAATTGTTAATAAGTTATCAATATCTAGATGGTTTGTGTAACCACTGCCAAAACCTGTAAATTAAAGCTAAAGGATCACACTACATGTAGCTGCAATATATAAAGCATTTCTGAACAAAACCTAGCTAGCTATGGCATGCAGATCTTCTATAAAAAAAAATGAAATAGATGACAGTATATCAATCGTTTCTGTCCGTTCCTGTAAATCGTCGCCCGTTTCTGTCCGTTCCTGTAAATCGTCGCCCGTTCCTGCCCGATCCATATCAAAACAATACTCTTAATTCCTTGAAATTCTTTTATCAAATATATCTTATACCCGATAAAAAAATATATGATACTATAAATGTAGGTTCATAAGTAATATCGACATAAATGTATATATATAATTTAGTCCGATTCTGCCACGATCATGTAATTGCAATCCTTTTACCAAATATACAATGTATCCTGTACCCGATAATGATACTTAAATGTATCAGTAATCTAATATATATATTCATTAATGTATATAATAATAAATAGATTGCAGCCCGTTCCTGCCCGTTTCTGTCCGTTTCTGCTTGTTCCTGCCCGTTCCTGTAAATCGTCTAACCGTATCAACAAACAGTTTTTAGAATTAAACTGCAAATGAAAGGAGGACATGAGATTGGAATTCTGAAAGTCTTTCACAATACAGTCACAGTCCTCACTCTACAGTTACCAACTAATTAAAAGCTTCCTTGTAAACAGTACTCAAAGTAAAGGGGAGGTAATTACTGTCTGTTTGAATCTACTAAAATTGACCACCTTCATCAAGCTGAAGATTAGTGAGAGGGCGCTAATGATATAAAGAAGCAGATAAAAAAGGACAAAAATAATCAAAGCACATTAACAAAGAGAGGGAATTGATGATGTTGAAGGCTGTAGTTACACTGAGGGAATTTATGTAAAAACTGATTACAAAGTGTTCCAATCAAACATTCTTATTGCAAATAAAGGGTTTTGACATGTCTGCAGTTGGGGAATCATTATAAATGATAATGATACAAAAAAGATGATACTGAGTAATAGCTACGAAACAACTGTGTAATAACATGTGTTTATGAAACCTATATGCCCACCGTCAGTATCGTATACTATACTTGTAAACAAATTATATAACTGCCCGAAAATGTTACGAAACCAAAACAAACACACACCGTGAGTGTGCACTGCCCGATTCCGACGTTAGAGACATCAATCACATGTCGCTCGGTACTCTAAAATCATAATTGCATTCATAATGTAGCCACATGAAATTACCTCCAAAAGCTCCTGCAATATAATCGTGGATGGGACTTTCAACTGCCATCCATCGCTCAACCTAGCACCTCGTGGATGCACTCGTTAATCTGGAGTGACACGGTGAGTATTAAATCTTTAGCTATGCGTTTACTGCAAACGTTTGTGCGACCACGAAAATGCGGGAGTCTCAGACTTGCCCAAGTCCCTAATAAGACTAAATATGTCTTGACCGAAAAGTTCTTCAGTGAATAGGACATCTTTATTAAAAATGTCTGTGTTAATTGATGAAGGCATGCTTATATAGACTGCTTTTTATCCTACCTGGTGAAATTTTCCATTTCATTTTGTTTAATTAAATATTCACGTGCATCTTGGGATAAAATAAAAGAAGATATCACCAAAACATCGAATAAATTAGATCACGACTACAAAAATGATGCAAATGTCAATGACCTCTGGAGAACATTTAACGAGGACCTGCGCAATGCTATGGACACCCACATACCATCAAAAGTTGCACGAACACGAAACAAACTACCATGGATGAAATCTAAAGAGCGGAAAATGATTAGGAAAAAAGAAAAACTTTACCAGCAGTCCAAAAGAACTAATAATTGGAAGAATTATAGACACCATCAAAGGGAATGCAAAAGAAACCTCAGGAGAGCAGAATGGGATTACATTAACACCAACATTCTAAAAGGTCTCGAAAATAACAACAACAAACCGTTTTGGAAATATATCAAATCAAAAAAGCAAGACTCAATAGGAGTAGCCCCCCTAAAAAGCAAAGGTACTCTCATCAGTGACAGTCAGTCAAAGGCGGATATATTATTCCAACAACTTAAATTGGTATTCACCATCGACAAAGTCACCAACATACCAGAAACAACAAAACGTGTACAGGAAACAATTCCGAAACTATACATAGATACAAACGTGTTGCAAAACTACTCAGGAACTTAAACATATCAAAAGCTTCAGGACCAGATGGAATACCAAACAGAATCCTCAAAGAAAGCGCGACAGAAAAATCATTAGGACCCACAAAAATATTTCAAAAATCACTCGACTCGGGAGAACTTCCAGCAGACTGGAGAAATGCCAACATCTCATGCATATTTAAAAAGGGAGACAAACACTCTGCGGGAAACTATCGCCCAGTGTCACTAACATCAGTACCCTGCAAACTTCTGGAACACATCATCTGTCGACACATGCTAAAACATCTTGAAAAACATAAAGTACTCACTAATCTAAATCACGGTTTCAGATCTGGTTATTCCTGTGAGACACAATTACTCTTGACTATAAATGACGTCTTAAAAGCGCACGACAATGGGAACCAGTTGGATGTAGCAATACTAGACTTCTCCAAAGCATTTGACACCGTGCCACACAAGAAACTCTTGCATAAAGTCGCACAGTACGGCGTGCGAGGACAAGTGAACAACTGGCTGACGTCATTCCTAACACAGAGTAAAATGAAGGTTGTACTGTACTTGAAGGCACAGCGTCACAGAAGGAACACTTCGCCTCCGGAGTACCCCAAGGTACGGTACTAGGACCACTCCTTTTCCTCTGCCACATAAATGACCTACCAGACTCAGTCAAATCACAAGTACGCCTTTTCGCCGACGACTGCCTTTTGTATCGACAAATCAAAACATTCAATGACCATAACATCCTCCAAAATGACCTACAAAACATTGAATAAGAAAAAGTCATCAAAATTCTACAGTCTGAATAACCACATTTTGGAAGAGGTACAAAACAATCCATACCTAGGACTCCAGATATCAAACGACCTCAAATGGAGTACTCATATAAGCAACATCGCGAGAAAAGCGAGCTGAACTTTAGGCTTTTTGAGAAGAAATTTAAAACACTGACCAAAAGAGTGTAAGAAAACAGCATATATATCACTTGCTAGATCAATTCTGGACTATGGCAGTATTATTTGGGACCCTCATCTAAAATCAGACATTGAAAAACTAGAGAGAATACAAAGAAGAGCAGCTCGCCTAATTACTGGAAATTATAAAAGTCGGGATGAAGGATGTGTCACGGAAATGCTACAACACCTAAAACTGCCAACCCTACAAAACAGAAGGAAATCACAGCGACTAGTATTCATGTACAAAGTAGTTGGGTTAATACCAGCCCTACCCCCAGATCAGATAATCCAGCACTCTGGAAGGGCGCGAAAAACAAACACAAAGCGTTATGAGTACTATGAAACATCAGCAACATTAAACAGGAACATTGTCAACAACTCAAGGTCATTTATCATCCCAGGATACAAACAGGAAGCATACAAGATCTCCTTCTTCATCAAAACACCGCTTGAGTGGAACCAACTGGATGATGTAGTAGTGTGCGCAGAAAGCGTAGAGGGATTTAGATCTGCCCTTTCAAAAATCCCCCAAGATAAGTAACATATTCTCTCTCCCGTCGTGTCACGCCATTATTGGTAACTACGACGTATCCAATGTAAATGTAAATTATGGCATATTTGTATCGGCTAATGGCCATTCCTTCAAAATAGCTCATGATCAGCCTGATACTAGAAAATTGTCTCTTCTTGCTCTCGAAACAATGTTTTAATCCGGAATTAGAATGCTAATCAGTGGTATTATTTATTAAATAAGAGCTTTCTACTCTCAGTTCTATTGGGATTGAATCGATTGATCCCATATATCCTCCAGTAAGAAAAAAAATCGAACTGGAGAAAGATCCCAAGAAGCTGGACCAGCTTATAAATTACTTTGACATGGAAACAAAAAGTGTGAATTCGATGCACAAGACTTCCGGAACCGATTGTATCACCATTTGACCGGATGTGGATTTGTTTACCAAGTGTTATTCTATACCCATATTTTTAGTAGGATTTTATTAGGAATTAAGATGGAGGCAGAATTTGTATGCCTCTGCAGAGACGTATATACGTCTCTGGCCTCTGTATCCAGGTAAAGTTCCGAGAGTTTAATTTTACTCGGACAAAAAATTGCATAACAAATAATAGACATATGTGATATATACATGAAGCGATCATTTTTGTAGATGGGTACATTCCATTATGTACGTATGTACCTCAGTAATATGTATATACCGCCGTCTTTGATCAATCCAATACCATGTCGTATTATGTGTATACAAATCTTTTAATCAACATTTAAAAATGTCTTTGTACACCATAACAAAAATGCATATGTATAATTAGACGGTAACAGTACTGTTACAAGTCGTAACATTTATGAGCTCAGACTTTGTGACGCAGCACATGTATATGCATTAAGTCAGTATCCCTAGCGTCAGCTACAATGACGTATAATTTAATTTTAGGTACATGTAACAATGAAATAATTTGCTCTACATGTATCACGGTCATAATCTTTCATCATTTAAAGTTACGGATTTTATCCGTTTCAGATTTTATTTTTTAATAAAATGAATTTCGTCAGAGCCTGAATGCCCAGGAGCAAAAGTCAATATCGCCTGATCTGTTTACTTTAGTCTTTAATTATTTAATATTATGCTATTTCTCATTTCATTAGCATTTAAAACATATAACATCAGAAAGCCTGCAACATTCAATAATAAAATGGTACTCGTTTTCCAAAACATTTAAAAATCGACACACGGTTTTGGGACTATGTCTTCTGAGAAGTTAAGGAGAGAAGGGAGTAACAGAAAGTGAAAAACAAAATAAAAGCAAACCAAAAAAAATAGCAATTCCGTGTGTTCGTTTTTGTGCTAATTTCGGTCAAAGATACCAATTTTACAAAATATGTGATTTCTGATGATTTTCTTTACTTTGTTTGGTCGTATACAGAACAATTTAAAAAATACCTGCTTTTGCGGGATCAAAATTAAAAGAGCTTTACAATTTATAATTTAATACCAATATTGTATAATTGTCCACTTTTTCATTCAAAAGAAATCTAGATCAAAACGAGATTTGAATGTGTTTCAAACATTATAAGAGTACAATCTTATGGCGTTGTGATGAAATTCTCAGCCTTGTCAATGCTATTCTAAATTGACGATTCTTTACAAGTATTCGAAATTACATGTGTATGCAAAACCGAGCTTGGGTTGACGCATATTCAACAATTATGAAACTTTTTTTACAACTTAATTTAATCACTATTGTTGGTCCGAATGGGAGCGCATGGGGATATTTACTGTGGGAGGAAACCGGAGAAACCGGAGTAATAGAACGAACTTGTCTAGACTGTGATCTGTGATCGTATTTCCTTGCTGGACTACCAGCCGACATATCTCTTCTTGACTAGATCTATATAAATTCTATATATCCAAAATATGTGATGATCAATAACCATGGAATATTTGACTTAAAATCCTAGGAAATGGGATCAGTTTTCTTGTGGTTTAGAACAGCGTCTGTCGCCAATGACACCGGATGTGAGCATTCCAACGAAATAACCAGCGAACGAGATTTTATCATTACCGCAATTCTCCTAGTCAGCTAGCAAGAAGTGCCTGGTAATGACCCGGAAGTAAAACGTTTGAAATCGCAATCCTATCGGTAAACCAGAATACAGATTGTCCTTGACTATAACGGTGCGAGCTAACGGTGCTCAGGACAAAAGTTACAATTAACAACAATTCTGAATAAGAATAATCAACCGCATTGTTACATGGCATATTGTTAAACATTAAGTTGAAGTTAACAATGAAAAACGGCTACTTCGTTTGAATTAGATTTAAATTTTCATTCCATTCGTCTGACCAGTCTTCAATAACTGTTAAATCATGGTAAACTAAGTTTACAATGTATCTTGACATTCTTATACTTACAAAATTGTACTGATAGAAGTGTGTAACCTTACTAACATATTATCATGATGATATCCCCTTATGTAACTCTTCAGACTGGAGGTAATCAAATCAGAGTTTGTAAGGTGATAATACATGAACATGATGTCAGAAAAAAAACATGGATAGATTAGAGCTGCCCGCGTCTCTGTCGTTGACAGGTAACGTAGCGGAAAATTGGAAACGTTTCGAACAGCGTTTTGAACTGTACCTTGAGGCTTCCGGCAAGACGGGAAAAGATGAAAAACAGAAGGCATGTCTGCTTATTCACGTGA